GAAGTGTGCCGTGGCGTACCTACAGAAGCTCTTCTCATACCATTTAGAAAATCGCACAAGTGGGTGTCTACCCCCGAGTTTGAGCGCCAAAATGGTGTACCCAAAGTTATGCCAGTCTATTATCAACTTGGTATGCCGGAGGAACGATACCATGGATGCGATTGCCAATGTAGGTATGGAAGGCGGGTTCTGCATTGGACCAACTTAGCAAGAGGATATGGATACCAGACGAGTCACTTGGGCGGACCAGCGTCTTACCTGAACGAGCAGCCATTGAGCGGGCTCTGTGCGGTACGCGAGAGCCCACCAAAGACATACGATCTGGAAGGCTACTTTGAGCGGACCAAATAGCAGAAAGAGGAGCTTATTACTTGTTTGCAGGAAGGTCGGGTGCGGCGGAAGAGCGATTATGGATATTCTAGGATTGGACGAGATGTCGGGATGCACTTCTGATTCTGTATTATAAAAAGCATCAGTCATACGCTCATTCGCAATTCAGAAACCTAATCTGGCTGTACCATTGTAACCGATAATTTCTACCTGGCCTCCTCCCCTCGCGATACTCAAAGCATGGTACTGCATGCGCGGGCTGCGGCCGATATCGCCCAGGACGAGAATCTGCGTCGTCGTTTTGGGCGCATTGGAAGCAACCCTTTTGCTCCTGTCGGGCCGTTTCGGGCTGTATCTTGAAGGAACTAAGAACAGTAATAATGTCACCGCCGTGGAGATGTAGAAAGCGACGCTGATCAGGGATTCAATCATGGTGTTTTGTTGGCGAAGAAATCACACTAGACAGTCTAACGCGCAATCATTGTAGTAAAAAAAGTGGAATAAACAAATATTGATAATACTTATCGCATATTGCGGGCCGAAGAGAAATCTAGTTGTGAGTAGAAAGGCGAATGACGCAGGCTCAAAGCTGTGAAGCTATTACGTTACGCTACCAGCTGTGCGGAGCACCATAACAACAATCTGATCCGATCCCCTCGTAGACACCTGAGGCTGCTATCTCGACGTGGAGATAAGGGAATCTTGGCGCGTATCACGTGTGCCCCTGACCCATGCGTTATCACCCGCAGCTGATGAAACGCAAAGGTTCACTCAATTCAAAGTTGATTTCCTATAAGACGTCCTCTACAGGCAATTATTGCTCCTCTTCTTTGAGCAGTGACTGTGCACGTTCTTTTGGCGCGATGCCGCGTTCCTTATCCCAATCCCCTGACCGACTGTCCCCTCAGAGCTGCTAAACTCCCTATTCCGCCCCGATCTTGGCCGCGACGACCCCGTCAAACGTCTTGGCCTCTTCGCCTTCTCCCTCGTTGCTGTTACAATCAATTGCGAATTGACAAAAAGGCCAAATTACACAACCAAATACCATGTCAACGGGGACTCCCATGCCCAGCGTGGATACACACTTCCCCGCAACTCATGGACATGGATTCGGACACTCCCGCGGCCATGGCCACTCTCGCTCAAAGCGTTGGTCACAACCTCCAGTCGGCCAGTCGCTGTCTTCTTTGAATGGTTCTGCGACTCCAATGCAATCGAGCCTGTCTTCTGTAGACGCAACTTTACCCAATGGCTCTGCGGTAAGGTCCACATCGCACAATCACCACCACTCGCACTCGCACGGTGCAGCCAATCACTCAGGAAGCTGCGACCACGGACATTCAGGGCATTATCATCCAGCCGAAAAGACAGAAGATGCTACAGAACTGCGCGCGCGCGATGTTTCTGTCATCTCTGCCGATTTTACACCCAGCACCAAGTAAGTAACCCTGATAAAACGACGGATCAATTAAGTGACATTTATTCTTTTAGTGGCGAGCTCTTCTCAGGACTGCTAACCGCTCTACCCTGGATCGCCTTGTCGTGGTACTACAATCAATATGCCAATTGGAACTCAGATATCGCCAATAAGGACAACACTGACCCGAAAACGTTTGCTGGAGGGAGTCTGGATCGGGCAGTTCTAAGGACCTGTAGTTTGACGGCAGTCACTATGGTCATGACGGGTGTTGGACAACTTCAATGGACCTCACGGGCCGGGAACAAATCCGTGGTCAAAGCTCCAAATCTGAGGGCAGATATCGCAGGTGTTGCGCTTGCTCGCATATGCTCGATTGCGCTGCCTATCTACGCAGCGCTCGAAGTTAGTGGGTTTCTTGTCGCGTTGGGTTTACTTCTCGCAGCGGCATCAGGGTTGCCTGCTCTTGCCAAAGGCCGCGCTGCTGGCAGCGACGCTCGCGAAAAGCTGGGCCACAAGAAATTCACAGTTGCTCTGATACTTACAATTCTGGTGTTGAGCTTTTCCGGCTGGATTGGCTCCCATGAGTCGAAGTCGTACTTCGGACATCTCTCCTTGTTACTGTCAGTCTTTGTCATTCCTCCGCAATTTGCAGATGTCGGCCAGTCAGATCCTTCTCGGGGGCCCGGTTTTGGTGTCCCCGCTTCTACAAAATTGGACACTTCAGTAAACCGGAAATCGGGCTCATTATCTATCGTCTCACCGGACGATGGTATGTTGACTTTGATACTCGGGCTCGTTGTTGGGCTAGTCGGCTTCGTTCTCTTCGGTATCCCTTCCCTCTCGGCATTGGATGCGATGTACCTGCTGGCAACAGCCGGTAGCTACGCAACGTCCTTACTCTTCTCGAACCCGCCCAATCTGCGTTCGCCGCACAAATGGGGTCTCGCTACAGGTATTGCGGCAGCGGGAATTTTATCTTCGCCACCTGTAGCTGCTGATAACTGGGTGGTCTATGCATCGCGATGCACGCTGGCGGCGGTGTCGTTCTTCGCCGCTCGATTTGATGACCGCCGGCTACGCCTTGAGCGCCATTCACATCACCACCATCATCATGGTCATTTAGCGGCTCCAGCCTCTCGGGTGACCAAGGTCCTTCTTCGCTACAGCGAACGTTACCCCCTGTTGTACAGCATCCTCAAAGAAAGGGATTCTCGCCGTATATTCTACTTCATGACGTATGCATGCACACCTCTTTGCACTTAGGGATGACAACTGATGATATTTTATAGCTTGAATTTCACCTTTATGTTGGTTCAATTATCTTACGGATTCATCACCGGGTCCTTGGGACTGCTTAGTGACAGCATACACATGTTTTTCGATTGCCTTGCACTTGTTGTCGGCCTTTGTGCTGCCGTTATGAGCAAGTGGCCGCCAAGTGCTCGGTTCCCTTATGGCTATGGAAAGGTTGATACTCTTTCCGGATTCGCCAACGGAATTTTTCTCATGTACGATTTGAACCCACCTTTCAATAAGTTTAAACCTGACAACTGCCCAGGATAATAAGTATTGAGATCATTTACGAAGCTGTGGAGCGACTTTCCTCTGGAAGCCAGATGCATCGACTGGGCGAATTGTTGGCTGTCAGCGTTGCTGGTCTGGTAGTGAATCTTGTCGGTATCATGGCATTTGACCATGGCCATGCACACCACGGTCACGATCATGGCCATTCACACTCACACGGAAATGAGAATATGCACGGCATCTTCCTCCATATTCTAGCCGACACTCTCGGCTCCGTGGCGGTTGTGATATCCACCATTCTTGTGCACTTCTCAGGCTGGGCCGGATACGACCCTATTGCCTCCTGTTTGATTGCCATTTTGATTTTTGCCTCGGCAGTCCCACTAGTCACCAGTACTGCTAAGACCCTATTGCTCGCCCTTCCTGCCGACGTTGAATACAATGTTCGTGAAACGTTGGCCGGTGTCAGCTCTCTACGAGGAGTTGTGGGGTACACAGTGCCAAAGTTTTGGTTAGACGATACAGGCACGACCTCGGGACATGACCACCATCATGACCATGGCCATGCCCATAGTAACAGTCACAGTCACGGCCATAGTCATTCTCATAGTCACAATCACAGTCACAGTCACAGCCATGGCCATGATCATGGCCATGACCACGATCACGACCACGACCACCATCACCATCATGAACACGACCACGATCATTCTCACGAGAAACACAAATCAAACGTCCTCGGGGTGATTCATGTCATTGCGTCCCGCGGCGCCGACCTAGAGGATGTACGACAACGGACGGTCAACTACCTCCGCGGAAAAGACATGGACATCCTTGTCCAGGTCGAGCGAGAGGGCGATGGGCGCTGCTGGTGCGGCGGGGGCAACAAGAGCCCCTGATTACAGCCATCATTTCTGTATATTCTGACATGACATACAGCTCACTGCAGGGTTTCAACCACATGCAAATACATTTTTGTACTATTTCACTATTTATGACTTGCGTACACGGAAGCGTTTGGGATGCACATACCATGAATACCAATCAAACGGTTTAGTGGCCGTGTAACGACCTCGTTACAGTATAACGGTCAAAGTCTCAAAGTGGGAAAAGTATATCCGCCTCGGTGTCCAGCGTGGTAAGGGACGTCCAACCACCACACTGCCACCATGTGTGACATCTGTACCACTAGTTTCTTCGTAGTAGCCAAAGAGTCCATGATGAAATTAGCACGACTCCATGCTGCGCAGATACACTGAGCGATTCACCAATTTAAAAGCATGCGCTCGACGCGGGAACAGTCCGTGGAACGAAGAAGTTCATAAAGGTCGTACAAAAGTATACCCTCGGCAGCACATGTCGACGTATTGAGAGAGGGACTGTAGTTTGATATCCAACATAACCCCTTCGGGAGCCAATTGACTCAGAGACAGTCCAAATCCTTGGTATTCGATATCTCCATTGGCCTTGAAAGAAATATGCAGGTCACAACGGTCTAAGTTGTGTTACAGCACCGACACAAACTCTGGCGAAATACGCATGGAATCAGATGCGAACTGCACATAGAGGAAGTGCCGAACCGCGGTGTATGGTCGTCATGGCTAACGGGACCATCTTATATTTGTAGCTTGTAGCCTCACAATATGACGCGTCAGGACTGGGTGGATGATAATCGATTCAGACGTCATCGGTACAAGCTTCGCCCAGGCTAGCAATGTCAGCCACAATGGCAGATAACGATATCCTAAGGCACGGGTATGCAAAGACTTTTACGAGACACACCGTCTTCCTCACCGGTAGTACTGGATCACTGGGAGGATGTCTTCTTTACAAGTTGGCACTGCAGCTTCCTACCCAGAAGATCTTCGTTTTGAGCCGCGGATCGGCTGAGTCCGCCATTGAAAAATGGCGGAGACTCATGCCGAAACAGACACAGGCGATTCTCAATACCGGCAAAGTGCATTTTGTCGTTGGTGACATTAAGGAGACGGACTTCGGTATCGAGGAGTCTGAGTTGAGACGACTGCGTGAAGAGGTCACTCTTGTTATTCATACGGCAGCCACGATCACGCTTGACGCAGGCATCGTGGAATCGATCGAGAACAACTGCCTCCCTTCCCTTGAGCTTGCAAAGATAATCTCGCGCTTCAGACGGTTGAAGCTATGCGTCCAGATCTCGACGGCGTATGTGAGCAGCTTCTTACCCGACGGTTATGTTGGAGAGCGACTGTATTCCATCTCCGACGCAGACCCGGAGGATGAGCTCGCGGCTATACTGTCAACAGGCAACTCTCCTGACACCGCTCGGTTTTCATCGTCGTATACTCATGCAAAATATCTCATGGAACGGTTGTTGTTGAAGAGGTACCCACTTCTGCCTCTGCTGCTTGTCCGTCCAACCATTTTCGGCGCTGCAATCCGGGATCCGTACCCTCTGTACGGGCCCATCAATTCCACACCGATGAATAAATTTGCCAGTCTGTTCTTTACGGACCGCGGGGGAACACACATCTGGCACGCCACTGCGGGTTACGAGACAGGTGCGAATATAGTAGACGAGATCCCCGTCGATTTTGTCGCGAACGGCTGTCTCCTGCATGCGGCGGCGAGGACTCAGGGAATTATTCACCTTGGAGCTCAACTCTATGTGCCGTTCACTTTCGACGACTTCTTGCGTCTCGCAGAGGCCAGCGCCCCTCCGTCGATTCAGAAAGAGTTGCCCACTCTCATATTCACCCAAGACCGAAACGCCCCGCAATCGCTCCTCGCTGATCTGGTTAAAGTCAGTACACGTAACTGGGGGTTTGACTGTGGCAGATCGTATTGGCTAAAGCAGATGGCTGGACCGTTGAGCTTGGCTGCCTGTAAGCATGACGTTGACAGGCTCAATTCAGCGAGGATCAAGGAGATATATGAGCAAACAGCAAAGAAGTTGGCGAAGCTTTAGTGTCCTGAATGTGGTCCAAGCTATCTTGTTTCGAGGGAGTGCGGATAGAGTGGCTTGTCCAAGAGGATTGAAATCTTGTTTATAATGCCGCGCTTTAATTCAATTGATCATCGTCTGGTTAGACAGCCTTCGTAGCGTTGACCGGGTCCGTTGGTCGCTCAATGGACGAGCTTCGATAGGCCCTAGCAGGCTTGAGGAAGTCGATCAATCCTGGAGCAGTCATAGACCCATTTTATGTTTGGGCCATAGCCGAGCCTCCTCCCAACGGATATCTCCCGGTTGTAGAGCAGCCAAAAGTTCAGAAACCAGAGCCGTACCCGAGCTTTTCGCCCACCACCATTTCCCATCAAGTTCGCCAAGAAGTACGCCCCAGTACATAAGCACCATCAAGGGAAAGGGTTTTCGGCATCGTAGGGCGTGGGCAAATTCCTTGCTCGCTACTGCGAGCCACCTGAGTACGGATGCCGCATCCCCGTTGGTAGCATGCCGCGTAAAGCATTCGTGAAGGCCAGATATAGCGTCCTTCACTATGAGGTACTGCTCAGGGTCCACAGTAGCCACAATATCATCGTTCAATGCGGCGAGTCGGCTCAACGCACGCTCCGTTTCGCTGTCTAGTTTCGACGTCGTCACTTTGTCCGAGTCGTCTTGTGAGGTGAATAGCTGCATTGTGAGCCATGGGCGGCTGATTTTGAAAATTTTGCTTACGCCTTGCAATAGCTCAAAGACCACGACGATATTTTCAGTGATGCCTGAACTCTCATCGCGCTCCGCAGTCAGCCGTGGTAAAGCTATACCAATGACCGTAGTGAGCACGGAGTGGGCGAATACAGCATCGCAGTTCATAGGGGTTAGGTTATCTATAGCTTGTCGGTATGGGGCAAAAGCACGATTGTGGTATTCCAGGGCCGTGTCAATATAGGTCAGTGCATCTGGCGGCTTGAGCGTTGAAGCTATATGCAAAGCAGCAACCGCAAGAACTCCGTTCAGAAGAAAATCATGTTCAAGAGCTTTGCGGGGAATGACCATTTGCCAGACATGGTAGTCTGATGGTCTATTAGAGAGACTCAGGTACGTTTCAGTGGAGAATTTGTGCATGAGCTCCAGCTCTCGCAAGTTGGAACCTTTGTTCAGGGTCGCGGTTCCGGTGTTGAACGACCGGCCGAACGTTTCAGCAATGCGCCCCTCGCCAGAAGAAGTAATGGACACGGGGCTAGCAGATGCCCCATTCGCTAAACTACGTGGTTTGGGGGTGTTGTAGTAGGAGCAGCTCAACTCTCTAGCAATGCAGTTCGCACATGGTGGCCCAGTCTCATCACACTATTTTGCTGTCAGATTAGAAAAAGGATAACAAAATATCAATGCAGAAGACAAAAGAAAGATGATTGGCTCACCTTGACCCTTCGTTTCTTGCACTGGTCGCAGCCCATGCGGGACTTCGTATGGGATCGACGGGGCGGCATCTCCAAGATTGATTGGGTTCAAGAAGCCAATTCATCCCATAGGAGAATTGCCACTGACAGTGGGAGCTAGGAACTGCTGTCGCCTGCGATGGTGTTGTGCATGGCCGATGGATGATGTTGATTTGACCGTCACAACAGATGGGAACCCACGTGGGATTCTCGTGGGATCACGTGATATATATCGCGTGTCAACAGCACCACCCAACAACGTCATTTGTGTACTCGGACGAAACCTCTGTGATGCACAGCTCTTGCCCTGCGACTACGAAACTACCTTTTTTCATATCAACCAAGCACTATGACCTGACGTACAGCATATGCGGCTCATTCGAATACTTCTCAGTGTTATCCCTGTTGCGCTGGTGGGGTCTCCGCGTACCCACTACGCCAACTAGCGGCCCATGAATCATGGCGAACTAAGGCCGGTGAAATTCGATTCTGGCCGTTTATAACTTTACGCTCGGAAAGAACCTTATTGATCTGGCTTGAGCAGGTACCTGATCGTGTTTTGTGGTTAAGCTATGGAGTACTCTACTGTGTATATTGCATCTTAGATTTAAGGACCACCGGGCCCAGGATGAGGCCGAAATCCGAGGGGCTTAGCAGGCAGCACTGCCGTGTCGGTTATGATAAAGCCCTGGCTTACAGTCAGTGGGGCAAAACGAAGACGAAAACGAGAGCGAGAACGAACGCGATGGATGACGAGCACCAATCAAATGAGATAGCGAGGTGTTTCAATATTGTTCTCGATCCACCTCGACATTGGCATCATCATCCTACCAGGCTCGGGTATCTTGGTGCAGTCAGCGCTAATATAATGATGAATGCCAATGGACGGTTTACTCATTCAACGGTTACTAAAATATTACAGAGTACATCTACCCAAACCCCCATTATGGATCATTCTGGATCTAGATTCATCCTCTCTTTTCTTGTTCTCTTTCTCAGCATAATATAGACAATACATTCCGTCCTTCCTTTTTTCTGTCTTTCCTTTCTTTCCCTTTACTGTACAACCCTGGTCACACCAAACATGGCCAGCTACAGTACCTGCACAGAAGTCAGCCCGCTTTGTCCAGTCGAGGCGACGACATACGGCTACTACCCAAACCTAGCCGGCAACGTCTTCTTCACCGTCTTCTTCGGCATCCTCGCTCTCTTCCAGCTCGGCATCGGCATCTACTACCGCACATGGACCTTCATGGTGGCCGTCGCCGTAGGCGCCATCCTCGAACTGGCGGGCTACATCGGCCGCGTGCTCATGCACAGTAATCCATGGAACTCCTCAGCCTTCAAGCTGCAGATCGTCTGTCTAGTCCTCGCACCCACCTTCGTCGCCGCAGGCATCTACCTCACGCTGAAACACATCATCCTCGCCCTGGGCCCCGAGCACTCGCGCCTCAAACCCGCCCTCTTCACCTGGATCTTCATCGGGTGCGACGTAGGCTCGCTCATCCTTCAGGCAGCGGGAGGCGGCGTCGCCGCCGCAGCAGGGAATACGAACGTCAAGCTGCTCAAGGCAGGCGACGACATTATCATCGCGGGTATCGCGTTCCAGGTTGCGACGATGTCCGTGTGTGGGTTCCTTGGGCTGGAGTTCTTCATCCGCTATTGGAAACGGGGGCCTGGGTTGTCCGGTGAGAAGACCTCTCTCGGGAGAGACATTAAATGGGTCATTGTCGGCGAGGTCCTCGCTTACTTTACCGTTTTGATCCGTTGTATCTATCGGTATGTACTCTTCGTCCCACCTTACTATCCCTCTATCCAGCTTCGCTGGCAAGACTAACAAACGAAAACAGTATCCCCGAAATGGCCGGCGGATGGGGCAACCCCCTGATGCAGAAGGAAAACGAGTTCCTTGTCCTCGACGGGATGTAAGTCCAGGACACTCCATGCAGCAGGTATACAGCTACTAACAATGTCAGGATGATCGCCCTGGCGGTACTTGCCCTCACGATCTTGCACCCGGGGTTCTTCTTCGGGTCTATCCGAAAGGGTCCCAAGAACCAACCCTAGCATTGAATGTATACCATCCTTGTCCATTTCAAAATGCTTCTTTAGCCGGAGTTTGGGATATAGTACATGGCTACACCGTATATACATGAGACACTATAGACATATTCTTATCGGTACTACTCTCAAGAGATAATATTACAATCATTTACCAAAAGTACTCCATGAACAGTCGTCGAGGCCACCGCGGACATCCAGCAACAAGGATATATGTGCAGCGCGCTGATCTCAAGCTATGATGCCATAATGAGAATGAATCAATTCAACTCCAGACCCTTAGAGCGCAGTAAACTCCAAACCAACAGCAAAATAACCGAGAGATGATGTATAGACCATAGAAACGTATAAAACTGAACCGCCCATTGACCGGTTCCTCATGCACATGAGACAAAATAAATGAGCACCGAAAACCGCACCCGCTTATCGCGCTGGTCAACAGTAGAAAAGGCCATCAGAGAATAAAAAACCAAGCGTATTGTATGCAGTCAACTCCAGTTAATGCGCTCAATCCTCCCCCAGACTCTCGCGGACGCACTTGCGGACTCGTTTCTTGAACTCGGCCGGGTCTTCCCTCCATAGCCGGGCAGCTTCTACATTGGCCGGGCTTTCGTCGTTCGGACTCGAGAGCATAGAGATGACGGAGAGGAGGATGGTTTCGGGCGTTTGAACGGGGGACCAGCGCTCGGCGGCGGACTCGTAGCCGTACTTATCTTCTTCCGGGGGGTGTAGGATGGAAATGCAGACCTCGCCGTTGGGATAGACTAACAGAAGAGAGTGTCTCAGTATCATGGAAGAGATGCAACCAACCACAAAGAGGCAAAGAGGCAAGCTTACTGTTTGGGTGAAAAACGGGACTCTCAAACTTCATTTTCGGCGGCATATGTGGATACTCCGGTGGGAACGACAGTCGAGCACGGAAGAAACCCCCTGTCAAACGACGTTAGAATATCTTCAAATTGCATGGTACAGTCCTGGTGATCCGTTCGGCAACTGAAGTGAAATAAGTGTACATACCGCCGTACAACTTGACATCGTCCGAAATCATGAGCATAACCTCCCACTCGAATACATTGTTATCCACCAGCCCACAGCTGATTCCCGGAATGTCCTTGTCCTGTTGCATCTGCTGCAACTGGCGTGCCAGCATACGACCCGCTGGTGTGGTGGCCATGGTGGAAGAGGTTATGTCCGGACTGGCCACTCCAGGAGCTAAGAAAAAGAAGTCGGAGCGAAGAATCGGTGGACTTTCGGCCTCACCCAGGGGTAGCGGAGAGAAATAAGAAGGATGTGTCTGAAAGGTACCCAAAGACAGAAAGGGGAAAGAAACTGATTCGGAAAATAATGGACGGTGTGCAGAGAGTGAAGATTGGTTGAGTGGGGAAGCGGGGCTACCTATCACTAACAGATAGATACCTTGGAAGACAGGCGGATGTGATATGACAAGAACGATAAGACGGATCCGAGAGATCAGAGATCGTCAGGGACTCCAAGCGCAGATGATGGGCAAGATTAATGATAGGCTATAAATGTAAGACCAACGGATGTTCCTATCGTAGACTAGGGGTAATGCCTAAGAATAACCAACAGCAAGAGAAGAGGAGTGAACAGAATGGCAAGTGGCTGTTCTGGTGAGGGGCAGCCCAGGGCGTGGCATTCGGCCGCATGAAGTCAGCGTTGGAAGCCTCCGCGCCGCCACAGTCATGGCAAGACAATTTGCCACTATGCTTCAAGTACAGAGGCCACTTTTTGGCGGAGGATAATGATCTGGTTTTACAAGGAAAAATTAAATCGAAACTATAAATATTCAATGAAGGGACATGCGAAATGCAGCTGATAAAATGACATTAATTAGGAAAGATAATCGTATAGACCTGAGATGATAATTGAGAAAGTGTAGATGTACAATCTGTGCAGCCAGAGCCAGACTGATACCAATCCAGAATGATATATACTTAAGCGCTGCCGCCGCTGCGAGCAATCATGTCCGCAATGATCTTCATGAAAGACTCCGCTCCCATGTATACTTCACCGGCGAGCGCCAGCGAGAAGAAGGCGAACACGCCGAATTCAAGAGCCATGACTTTTCCAACCACCTTGAGGAAACGAATCCGGGCAGCCCGGTCAAAGGTCTTCCAAGCATCAGTGATGCTGAGCTTACCGCTGCCCCCAAGAATAGCGGGAGCCACCTTTCCGCCGAAAGAGCGATCGAAAGGCACGATAGACTCGTCCTCCTCGGGCAGCATGGAAGCGGCGACACGGGTGAAGACCACACGAGCAGGAATGGACGCGATCAGTGAAAGCAGAGACGGAAGAGCGACAACGGTGAGTGCCTGGCGAACGGCTTCGGCGGGAGGAACACCCTCCTCGGGAGCGGAGGCCAATCCATCCAAGGCGCCACAAGCATTCATCACAACGAGAGGAACATAGAATGCAAGACCGGCAACAGCATGCTCAAAGGCCACAACGGGTGCGATCTTCAACCAGGCCTTGTAGCCAGGAATACGCTGGTAGAAGCGCTTAGGAGAAGGCTCCGAGATGACAATGTGGACCCAAGCCAACTGCAAGTTCGCGAGCAGAACACCGACAACCATTTGGAAGATGAACTGGGGAATAAACTGGTTCACTCCAAAGGGCATCATACCAAGCAAGAAACCCCGAGCGAAAAGGTATGTGAGGAACATGCTCATGCCGCGGAATCGAGACCAGGGACCGGCACGGGCGCGAAGGTGCTTGATGGTGGTACGGAGCTTGCTAGTGACGGGCTTGGGAGGCACAGCTGCCAACTCGGGTTCGACTTCATCGCCGGGCTTGGTGGGATCCATGTCACCGTCGATGCGGACATAGATATCGGGGTTGCTGTCTTCAACCGCAGCGAGGGTGGTGACTACCATGCCATAGGTGTACTCGATCTAGACCACACCTCATTTAGCAACAATCCCTTTGAGGCTGGGGTATATTGGCGGGAATAATCACTCACCGACCAGGAAATGAGAACGAAAGCAATCAACGTAGCGAAAAAGAGAGCGACGAGCCATCCCGACAGCTGGATCTCAGGCGGTTGCTTGGAAGGCTGCTTCGGGTGCTTCTGGAGATGCTCGGAGGCAAGCTCCACTCCTCGACGGACGAGGGAGCTGACAACCATGATGGATCGTGTTAAGATGAGAATAAAGTGTCGTCAAAGAATATGAATAAGAATATGTGATAGATGTCTTTGATGTAGAGAGAGACAAGTAGTTGGATGGCAATAAGAATCAAACAAAGAAAAGATGATGGGAGCGTCGGCGATTTTATTTGCTTGGAACGGGGGGCGGCGGGCGGGTCAGCCAGTCCAGGCAGGCAAGCAGGCTAGAAGGCAGCAACGAGGCTGAGCTTCAGATCGGGGTTTACGGATGTATCGACGCCAATGAAATTCTACGAGGGCGCAATATGTCGCACCATTCGGTCCTATCAGATCCATCTCTGTCATCCTGGAGTTTTGACAGCCATCAATCCTTGCCCTGACGCAGCAAACTAAGGAGCAGCGCAACACGATTCCGTCAGCAGGCTTCCCCTATCAACCATGCAGAATTTATAGCATCGATACAAATCCTTGGGTTGGACCACTGGATAAGAGACCCGATCAGCGTCGCGATCGTTGCTTATTCCCCTACCTATTTGTCTACTACTCTGCCACTGCGTTTGAGCCCATACCATAAACATCAGGAACTGCAAGAGTGAACTTGGACTCCGGACAAATGTCTCTTCGTAACTTCACAAAACGATCGGTTCGGATCATCATTGCTGTCAGCACGGCGCCAAATGTTTCAGAAATCAAACAGTCTTGGCCGACGGTCGCATAATGGAGCTGATTACGAATAGACCAATAGAAAATCATCATCAAGTCTATAATACCTAGCAAACAGGATATCTAGGCTTCTATGCTCCCGTACATAGCAGAGAAAAACTGGCCAAAAACGCGGAATATGAACTCTCAGGGCCACGAACAACGGAAAGTGGTATATATACATATCTCAACGAACGATTCACCCTACACGATCGAACCTCATTCCCTTTTTTTTTCTTTTGGTTCCATCAAGTGTCGGCATCTAGTCGAAGAGCTTGTTCATAAACTGGTGCGCGAGTTCGACACCGGCACTGTTCGACTCGTTAGTAACCAGTATTCAATGCAACATCTCGGGAAATCACATACAATGTAGCCGCGTTTGCGGGCACAGCTCTGGCCAGAGCAGGCCCGAAACCAGGGAAGAAGGCTTTGAAGCCACCGCTGGCGTAGACCGACCGGATAGTGCCGCCGATTGTGGGCTTGCCGGGGGCACTCTGAAGACGCGACTTGATGGTGTCCACAGGGAAGACGGGGATCCACATGGCAATACCGGCAGCACCACCGGCAGCCAGGACGGCGGGCATGGACAGGCCACCGGTGACATTGCCGTGCTCGTCCTTGGGGGTCAGCTTGCGCTTGATGTACTCGTAGGCAGCGAAGTAGGCGGCGGAACCAGGGCCATCACGAGCCAGAGTCATGGCGCTTCCGCGGAAGACACTCCGAATACCACCCTCCTTGTATAGTTGCCGCACGACGTCCAGCCCGCCAGAGTACTTGGGCTTCTGTCCCGGAGGTGGAGGGTTCTGGCCCTGAATCTGCAGAAGCACCTTCACTCGCTCAAAGGGAGCCGTGATCAGTGTCATGGGAATGGCGGAGAAAAAACCAGCAGCGGAGATCTGGGCGATGGTGTACTGAGGGGTGTTGTTCTCCATGCGCACGTTCGAGAACCGGCTGACAAGTGTTTTGCCGACGTCGTAACCCTATGAACTGTTAATTGCTTCAACCCAAACACCAGTTTTATTGCCCGAAACATACCCAGAAGCTAACGGCGACTACAGACATCAATTAGCTTAGTCTCAGGCTTCCAAGGAAGCGACACAACTTACACATAGGGGTGACTCCAACCAGCGGAGCCGAAACACCAGCGTACAGTCCCTACAGCCGATTAACATCAAGCACCACATACAACTGACCGCGCGACTTACCCGAGCCAAACCCTCACGGGCAATAGTCTTCTTGACAACATCAATGGCACCCGAGTAGACGCCCTTCTCCGCCGTCTGCAACCGCACCTTCACCAGATCAAAGGGATGACCGACAACCACCGCACAGATACCACCCGCCGCACCTGCGACGAGGGAGCGGATCTGAGCGATGGTCTGGTTGACAGCCTTGGTCTCGATGGCCTTGAGCTCATCGCTGAGGTTTTCAGGAGTAGACGAACCTGGAGTCGACATTGTGAAAGGTGTGGAGGGAGACGCGGGGAATCGACTCAGTCAGTTCGTAGCGGGGAAGAGGAGGAAGATAAGCAGGGACACAAAGAGGTCAAGGTGTGAGGCGATCTCGAGGAGAGCGTAGGATGAGAGGACGGAGGACGCGAAACGGTCGCAAAAAGGAAAAACAAAGAAATGAAGCTGAAGTGAGGAGAAAATTGATCAAGGATGATATTCTACAACAGAATTGGAGGAGGAAAGACAGTCAAAGGGGAAAAAATAGCTCCAATCCCGCAACAAAAGCGGCCGAGGCCGAGCAGGAGGATACCGACAAATACAGTCCCGCTACAGAGGTACAACCACCGCTCGGCGAACGCGCGTGACTGGACCTCGGCTCGGTCCGGATCAATGTGTCTCCTCCGATCGCAGATGTTCGATTTAACGATAACAGGTTCTGATATTGTCAGCTGCACTTTATCATCGAAGGCACCATCATAAAAGTGATGTTGTGTCCTTCGTGTCCTTTGCTACATCCCTGAATTTGTACTGTCTGAGACCACCGGATACTTGACCGCGGGCAATGAACGGTCCGGATGAACGGGCACTAAACCACGGCTTGACTTTTAGGTCTTTACCCCCTCCACGGATCCCTGCCCCGGATTCCATTACTCCAGATATTCTGGCCAGTCACACCAGCCAACAGCAAAGGGCACCTCTACGGACGACAGGAAGCTTGGCTCTCGTGGACATCCCTGTCTTCCAGTATGTAATTTTTGGCTCAAGCGACTGACCTTCTTGACCGACGATGTGGAGAGTGTCTCGATACCAGCTGATGTCATCAAAGACCTTCTGGGAATGCCAAGGATCACATGCGACAGACCGCTCCAAGTGAAGTGATGGTACAGAGGTAGAGCTAAGATAGTCAACTTCCGCACCCACGTGCGTGCTTGAGGTTGGAGTATTTGGTGACGCGTGATACTACTTACACAGTTGGTTACCTATATCTACGAGCACTGGAGAGTTTACTTGAAGGCGAGAAAGATATAGACAGTTCAGAAATATTAATATATTAGGATAGCACGACATATACCGTGACATCAGAAAAGGTCAAAACATTATTTACTCATCACACCAGAACCCACCAATTCCCATATACAATCCGGCTTTGACGGCAGGTATCATCAACCATTATTCATCAACATAAGACACACACTGACATCAGCAAACCTATTCCCATCAACTCTATCTTTGAGAGGATTAGAGGATGACCAAGGCAGCGAGGGCCAGGGCTCCGACGGCACCGGAACCAACGACAGCGCCGCGAGGGGCAACGTTGCCAGTGGACGAGCTGTTGGGGGCAGTAGTGGAAGTGGAGCCGGAGCCGGAACCAGAGCCGGTAGAGGTGGAAGAGCCGCTACCAGCTCCAGTCCCGGAGGAACTGCTGCCAGTGGAGGAGCTGTTCTCAGAGCCGCTAGTAGTAGTAGTAGTCATTGTCGTTTCTGTGGTAGCGGCACCAGTGTTGGAGGGGTTCGCTCCAGAGGTAGTAGCGCCAGTTCCCGAAGGGTTGGTGCCAGTGGAGGAGGCTCCAGCTCCAGCACCAGCACCACCAGTCGTGCCGTTGCCGCTGCCGGTAGCGGTGCTAGTAGCGGTGGAAGAGGCAGAGCCAGTGCCAGTGCCAGTGCCAGAGCCAGAGCCAGAGTTAGAACCAGAGCCAGAACCAGAGTTAGAGCCGGAGCCAGAACCAGAGCCAGAACCAGAGCCAGAACCAGAGCCAGAACCAGAGCCAGAACCAGAGCCCGAGCCAGAGCCTGAGTTAGAACCAGAGCCCGAGCCAGAGCCGGAGCCAGAGCCAGAGCCGGAGCCGGAGCCAGAGCCAGAGCCAGAGCCACCAGCTCCTGTGGCAGTGACAGCTGCAGAGTCACCTAACGATTGCAGTCAGCACCCAGCTCAATCGCGTTGGGGCAGCGCAGAATCTCGTGAGTACTCACTAGGGCAAGAGGAAAGAGCGCTGGATAGGACAGCGGCGGCATTGTCGCCAGGGCAGGCCTCGGTAGTGCAATCACGGATACCATATCCGTAGTTGACTTTTGAGCAGAGACAGTTATTGTCGCCGGCAGAGCAGCCAAGCTCGCCAGCCTTGGCTTTCATGTTATCGAGGCACATTTGCTGCGAAAGGGGGAGTCAGTCAAGGGAAACTTTTAACGTAGTTTCAGGGCAACTGAACAACGTACTGCGCACTGGGAGAAAGACAGGGCAGCGCTCGCCATGCTGGCGGCTGACAGCAAAAGAAGAGACACAGAGGCCTTCATGATGAGGTATAGAATATCGAAAATCAAGTGAGGATCAAAAGATTGATGAATATGCTGAGTGATATTGGACCAATTAGAGCACTGTTGAGGCCTTGAACAGAATCAGGTCGATGATGTAAGTTGAAAGAATGCAAAGGAGCGGCAGTGGAAGAGGGGGCTTTTTATAAGGTAACTACGGCCCAAGCGGAAAGTAAACCAAACAATCGCGCTTGAGTTGAAAGCAATTGAAGCTTCGAGTTCCTAGTGGCCCTAGGGATCCATTCCACTCAATGAAAGTGCGATCGCCAGTGGTCCTTGTCCACAGTAAGTCCTTGACCGCGTCTCCGGTTGAATGCTGCCAAGCAACGTGGCAGTCTAGTACAGAGTAGTTGCAAGGTAGGTACCCACCACTAAGGGTAGGGATGGAGGCACCGGGCATGTTTTGCTGCTTGGTGAAGTCATTGATACACTTCATGGACTGATCAACTTTACAAGCGTGGGTCATGGAAGGGATCTTGGATTCTGCATGCGGGCAGGTGGCTGACTGAGTAGGCATGATCCCAGCCGCTGTGGCTTGAGCTGAAGCATCTATGGTCTATCATTGGCTGCACTCGCTAGATTTTAGGGTTTAGCGTGTGATAGTTTGATCAAAGATTTGAGATTTTGCTCATCATTACAGAATTCGAAGCGGTCACCAGCCACACTCTTAGTTCTGTTAGTCTCTGTTAGTCTGTTGCTAAGTTCCTAGCTTCAAGCATAGCAATACAGGGACATAACCACAAGAGGGACGCATTCCTAGATACGGAGGTACATGCTGGCCAATTTGAAATAATCTGCATCGACGAATGAGCTGCATAACCGGATTAATCCAATGCCTACTCAAATTAAGGATGGCTTCCTCGCGTTGTACTTTGTATCACCAGTATACGTCAATGACAACGTCATATACGGAGTACTGATTGGCTATCAGAAGCACACAAACAAGCTCATTTTGCCAGCGCAGAGCAAGGAAATCATAGGTGGCGGCTGAATTTCTACCTAGCGTATGCGATCATACGAGTCTCCCTCTGGAGGGGCTGGAGTCGAGAGGGGCTGGCAAGTTGGCGTCTGTGATTTGGATGATCGACGGTGGATCGGAGCAATTGAGTTTGCTTTTTCCATTTTCATTTTTCAAGCAATTCTCTCTCTCATGATTGGCCAGAAGCTGAAGTAGCATCCCACCGCCTATGTGCGATACAGAAATACATGAAGTAGCTCACTAGCCACATTTTCAGCTAAAGCCAAGGTAAGCTAGCTAAATAAAAGGCTAAAGGCTCCAATATAATAAAGTCGGTGGCAAATTGGTCTTAGACGATTTCCGCAACCCATTAACCTGGAGCTATGAATTATGCACCATCTGGTAACCGTGGTGAAACACAAAGGCAAGTGTAATTTGATGCTACCTGAGATCCCTCGCTACTAGGTAGCTTAACTTGCGTTAATTTTGAATATGTTGTGCAATAAAAGCAATTTGCTTGTTAAGTTTGAAAATAACAATTACCTTGCTGTCAAGGAGCATTAGGGTACCTGCTGGTACTCTGCCACTCAGAAGCATGGCATGATCACCCGTGATGGCATTGGTCATTTCCCACTTGTAACATGAATTGACCTGCCCTCGGCAAGGCATGGTCTACCTGTACAATTGTGGGCAATGTCTTGAGGTCAATTAAGATTTGAACTGCGAGACGTCTCTTCCTCGCGAAACACAATAATAAAGGGTTACCTTGACGAAAAGTGTGTTTGACTTTTGACTTCGCAACAATGCCCTAGGCAGGCGGCCGCTTTCAGGCATCTTCGCTCTACTCGGTCGAACTTAAATGGATGCCACCTAACTGGAAATGTCTCGCACCGAGCTGAAGCAACTCTGAAAGTTCGTCTGCAGCGCCCCTTCATTTCGCATCTGCTCTCCGTCCCCGCTAATTGTACTATCTTCGACCTCTATCCATCGGCCGAAATTCTGAACCACTGGGGAAATATTTCAGGCTCACCTGACCCTAGTTTCCCATCGAACACCCAAGAACATTCTCATTCTTCGAGCTTCACGAGTACTGGTTCACTGATGAACATGTGTGACCTTTGCAAATTATCGAATCAAACAACTAAGTGCGTATTTGGAAGCGCAAGCAATATCCCAATGACCATTGTGAGCATTGTTTCATGCAAAATAAGCTTGAAACGATGCTTATTTGGACATTCAGCCTAACCTGCTGTTTTCGTCAATTCTGCGCTCTGACTTGCAGACGGTATGATGAACCAGAGATGTGTAGGGATGTGGTCACCATCCAGCTGGCACATGGGAATGGCCTCTTTTGCCCTGACAAGGGTGATTTGGAACGAGGAATCTTCGCTAGGGAGGATATCACCAGACTCCTTGACAGCAGACCCTGCATTCCATTCCATTCCATCCCCAGACCATCCCACGTTCTGATGCTTCTCGTGTCTGAGCTCAACACCAGATAAGGAGGGATAAAATCGTAGATAATTTCCACATTCTCCCAATTAATGAACCTTGAAGAGAAGATCGTCATTTGCAGGAAGAGTTAGCATATCGTTGTCGTCGATCTTCTTCTCACTAGGCCAGCATACTTGACACCACGATCGCGTCCAGATGCGGTTGCATTCCAACCGGACGGGATTACACCTGTTTGCATGAAGCTGCAACAGGAAGGCAAGAAACCATAAGCATCAACACACAAGCCATGAAGGTCAAAGCACCGATGCTCAAGTTATTCAGTAGAGTTGAACGAGATCTCCCGGCCTTACCAACCATGTTCGCACCATTTGATAAAAATGGAAGAGCATTCCCATTCCCAGGGACGTTCCTTTGGCTGTACACTCGTCGATTCGAATACTGAGGGAAACTCGGTGTTCAACCAACGCAGGGCTCACCTGGAGCCTAGTTCAACTTGGAGAGCTAGCTTCGCAGAGATCCGGAGTCAGACAGAGGACGGTCAGGCGGAAACGTGCCTGTCACTCTCACCTGTCAATCCAACGGCCCGCTTTTAGACTCAGCCAGACTCTGGAAACCCGGTGGTCGACATGTTCCCGAAGCGTATCACCCCTCGCGATGCAACCTGAATCCACCCTCGGGACAACTGATTTCCTTCCTTCTCTCCCCTTTAACATTGATCCCGCGCCTGAACCAAGCGTTCGGCGAGCTCTACTGCTTGAACCAAGATTTAAGGTAGGAGCTGTTCTCCAGTTGTGGTCCGCTCACAGAAACGGCCGTGGTTCTGCTTGACCTTAATGTAACCAATTGTTTTGTGGCGCCGACGGATTGAGACCATGATGCTCGAGACTTGTAATGATTCAAGTCTCGGCCGTTCGACTCTTAGGATGTAGAAACAGTTTAAAAAGCGTGACACACTCCCAACGTCTGGGGCAATCTCAGAGACGAAGACTCGGCCAATGCAGTCCTTTTTGATCTGATTGTTCTAATTCTCCAATTGACTCACCAAAACATCGCTGTGATAACGCTACTATGGCTACTCTACGGAAGGCCAAAGCCAGCTTACTGGCTTTGATTTTCTTGGTCGATATGGTTTCATTCTCTGGTCTTGCCGGAGCGAGACCTATTGCCATGGACCAGTTAGATGTCGTAAGTCCTTATTGATAGAAAGCAGAACTCATAATGTTCATCACTGACACCCGGCACAGGAAGGTTACCATGGCAGACTCGGGCAGGAGGGAGCCGCTGACCTCGCCGAGGAGCTCGACTGGCACAAAGCCCCTGGCGTGGACAGTAGCACGCACATCCAGTCCAGACAGTACTCTGGTTTTGACAGCACTGCCACCGGTGACATGACTGCGGGAAATGCCGCCGCAGGTAATGGTCAGCCTCAGCCCGGAGGCACGACAACGGGAAACACCTGGGCCGGTATTAGCTTTGCTGGAACGGTTCCTTCCGGTATCGCGGTTACACCATCCGGAGGCGATGATAAAGGCACTGCTGCCTCGCCGTGGAGCCCTGGCTCTAGCGCTCCGGGTACCGAGGCAAGCGGGTCTGCCACGGCAGGCAGCCGTCCCGGTAGCGGCTCCAAGGGTGGCGGTGCTCCGACCACTACTTCAGCCAGCTCTGGCACTCCAGCATCTTGGGGTGGTAGTGGAGGCTCTAGCTCTGCTTCGGCGAGTCCAGGAACCAAGGCCAGCGGACCTGGGGTGTCTGGTAATGCTGACGAGGCCAGCGACACGGGTACCAGGCCTAACAGCAGCGGTTTCTCCCCCAGCAGCTCCGGGAGCAGCGCCGCCATGGCGGGCTTTGGTCAAGGTTCTGGAGATGCAGCATCTAAAGGGAGCGAAACGGTTTCCAGCGCTCTCGATGCGTCTGGAACCGGGGGCCCTCGAATGCCAGCACCTTCCATGGGCAGTAGCGCTTCTGCCGACGGCACTTTGGGCAGCAGGGGCTCTGAGTTTGCAAAAGACAACACAGGCTATGGAAATGATACTCCTTCGACGCTTGCAAACGGTGCTAGAGCATCTACCCCCAACGAACCTGCAGAATCCGGAACGGCTACAAAGGGTTCTGAAGCTGTAGACTCTACTCTCGGTCGGGCTTCAGCCAGCATGGAAGCGCCAGACTCCGCCAGCACCAAGGCGTCTGAACGTACCAAGAGATCGACTGAAACAGACCCCGTTAATGGGGGCGGAAACACCAGCAATGGAGTCAACGGTGGAGCGACCAACACCGGCGGCGGCACAAATGTCAATGTCATTACGAGTCCAGCCAACGGTGGTGACAGAGACAAAGGGGCGCTTAATACGCTACTGGACAAGGTGACTTCGATTATAAAGTCTTTGCGCTGAATTTGCTGTCGGAGTCATTTCAGGATGTGCGTTTCATTTCTACTTGGAGGCAATGTTTTTTACAAGTGTGCTTATAGCTATATGTTTTAATGGGAATATGCTGAACCGTTAAGAGTACAGGATCGGCTGATGTTCTCTTCATCAATCTATCAGCCAATGTACTACATAAGCATGCTTGTTCAAAGAACCCCTCAGGCTTCAACTGACATCTCAATCAAAGTTTAGTATGCTGATACATAACTGTTACTTCGCAGCGATCCGCACAACAGTCCGCTGTGGAGAATCAGGGTAATATACCGTCTCGACATGCAATCCACAGTAGTATCATTCCTGGATGGGTGGTATCCTAAAATGCAACGTCACAAGTCCGCTGGTCTAAGACCATAGCCGATTACCAGACACAGCTTCCTCAGATTCTGGCCTGGCTGCTTGCAGCGATACCTACATAGACAGGGGGACAGAGCACATTCATACGAGTGACTAAGTGACTACCTAATGAGTATAGATAGTAACGTGGGAAGGTCTATGTATATAGGTTGAATGGGGATGCATAGTATGAGCGCAACCATAACCACTACATGAAGGCCTTGCACAATTCCCTGAATGACTGGGAGGAATAGCTACAGTCCTTTACTGCTTGTATACAGACTTGGACGAAATCATGAATAGACAGTGGTAGTATGTACAGCTAGTCACCAGTATACTATACTAACTCATAATATGAGGTTTTTCCGAATGCAATCAGCGCGAGATGTCTCGAGTCTGATGGCGACTAGCTAAGCAATATCACACTGACCAGATCGGGAAAACTAAGAGCACGGTGATCGCAATGGCATAGCCTATCAATACATGGAGCGTCGTCTCCTTCGGCCGTCAAGGTGAGACTGACATTGTCTCCATCCTGATCCAGTTCGTCCATGTCGCTCGTCCAGATGGCTGACTCGCACTAAGATCCATTCTAGTCCTGAGGCCATGGCCATGATGATGGAGGTAGGTGAGCAACTCCCGCTCATTCAGCTGTACTATATAGATGCTGTCTTCCGCTGTTCATGCCCAGCTTATTCGCCGACATTCCCTCAGCACAGCAGATAGGAAATCCCATCTAGGTCAGCCCAGAGTCCCTTTTATTATTCGGGTTGGTGTATCCCACTGCCGCTAGATATCACTTTGCCCTAGTTAGTCGGACCGTATAGCCCGTCTTCATTCTGGCTGTGCATCTTTCCTTGGAACTGACAATGAATTAGTTGCCTGGACTTGCTCACAATTTGTTCAGAAAGATTGACCGAAGGAGCAAAAATCTTTGCGTTGCTTGGCTTGAAGCTGAACCGAGTGGAGACATCCATTTCCGAATATGGAATAAGGTCCTAGTGGATCTCCACATACGATCCAGACTTGACAGAAAAAAATTCAACAGTACAAAATTTCAGATTGATCGGAAAAAAATGACCTACGCAGGATTCGAACCTGCAATCTCTTGATCCGTAGTCAAGCGCCTTACCATTGGGCCAGCAGGCCTTGTTGATGCAAATGAGCGATATATCATCTTAAGAAACATGGGGATTCGTAGGAATGGCTCATGAGCGTGCACTATAGTATACAAAAAGAGATCTATGGTTTCATACAATGTCATACATCCAGCCACCGCGACGATCGACTCAAATTCTCCTTTTCCGAGACGAGACCGTCCTCCAGCTCCACCGAGTCAATGGTAATAGCCGGAACCTCGCGATATCCCCTGCCACTGCGGACATACCAACACCGACACAGCGAGATCATCATCTTCCCGACCACGAACCCGACCAGGCACGCACACAATCCCGCCGCAACACCCAGCAGCGCAGGCAGGATCACCGGCCGCACGAGCCTCATGAAGCTGCGATCGCGGCTGCTCCACGGCATGGTATTGTGGTAATGGGACGCAGGGTCCCTGAATCGGTAGATATCGGCATGCAACGGCCGGCGATGATGCCGCGGTTCTTCAGGGGCGACCCCAGCCAACTGATCGAGGTAAGGCTTGATATGCGATTTCAGGAGGCGCCAGGACGAGGTCATGTGGCCGTGGCCGTGCCTGTGGAACGGGGACCGCTCGACCTTGCTGATGCTGAGGGTGCCGTCGTTGCGTCGGGATACGGCCACCGCGATTAGGTCCGGTGTGACGGGCCGGCCGTGGAGATCGAACAGGCGCAGTTTGAGGAGGAATGTCTCGCCTAGGAGGGCGCCCGGCTGGGCGGGGAACGGTCGTGCGTCGAGGCTGTATGCGACTTGGACGGATTGGTCGCCGGAGTCCGAGTGCTTGACTGCGGAGAATTGCATGGGTAATGAAGGTGGGAAGACGGATTCATGGTTGGCGTAGAGTGTGCCATTGTCGGAAGAGATGTCAATAGTCTGTGAGGTTAGTTTAGAATCGTCGTACCGGGGATGTTAGGATTGACGTACCACATGTGATTTTGACTCGGGGTTCTGAGAGCATTCGGCGTCTGAAAATGCACAGTGAGAGCAGGGAATGTCGATTTTGTAGAAATGGCGAGAATGTTGTGTGTTTGACGTTTGTATATTGGAGGGGAGGCCGTGGCCCTGAGGGGCGAGGGCAGCGACACCACGGCCCAGGCAGAGACCGGCCAGTGCCAGAAGTCGTAGCAACATGGTGGTTGTTGGAATAAGGTAGAGAGTCGTAAGGAATGATGGCGAGGACTATGTTCGTATATAAGAGCGCATCAAGCGCTTAGCAACCTGGAATATCCGTGTGCGGAAGGTAAATGAGAGTAGAAGGAAAACGTTGGGTGAACAGAGTCAGATGGTTTGTAATGAATGAAGCTGCACTAGTGGCAAAAGTGGCTTTTGTGGATGGAAACGTGCTCAGCTCATAGTGAGGTGATTTGACGCGGGGAAGGCATAACAGAACCTAAAATGGGTGGACGGATGAATGGGCAGGGAAAAAGGCAAAACTGCGGGCAGGCAGGCAGTCAGTCTTATAAATATCTACCTTGTCTACAGGCGACTTCTGGAACACGGCTACAATTATGAACTAGTCAAGCTAGGAGATTATCGATTTGGGGTCCGGAGGATCAGTAGCGCGAGACAGCGAGGCAGATCGATAAGTTAAGGGCCTTACAGCCTCAATGACACGAGCCGATCGTTTCCTGCCGTCCTTGGCTTGGAAATACATACGAGAAGGATGCCTTGACTCATTGCTACACTTGAACAATACTAAGACTTGGTAGTATCTATTGCAATGCATAACACGATTAAGAAAAATTAAGATTCCTGTTGCCTGGAGGTTTGCGGTGGAGAGTGATCGCACATTAGATGAGCTTGTAGAACTTAAGACACAACCCACTCGCCTATCGATTTACTCGGTAGGAACCTTGGTCCATACCACAATAGTCAGGTACTCCCGTTACTCAGGTAGGTAGGTAGTTCTTAGGGTTCCAATTATCTAATAAACCCGACTGCTGTTTGGCCAACACTTGCAACAGCTCAGCCTCCTATTGGTGTTTATGTCACTGTTGGTTGTTGTTGGTTGGTCGCTCGTAGGCACCAGTACCAAGGTAGCCGGTCATTTAAGTATTTGGGCTCACGCGGATCCTCAACTCATCCTCTTCAAGCATTGCATTCAACACAGTCTCATCTACCTAATGATTGTTGTAAATAATGCAGTATGGAAATTCATGTCTGAAAGTTTTTCAAATCGAAAGGGGCAGATGTCTCGGAGAACACACCTGAGAAGTGTGAGATCCTGGCTCAACTAAGACACCGACTATCCGCTAGTCTAGTCTATGCACCATCTATTGTTAGCAACGGCTCAGACAACCGACGTTACCAGACCATGTGACTCGTCTCATAGGTCAGAAAAGTTTATCTTCCTCCCCACATGAGATGGAAGAATCTGGTCAACAACGCTGAGGGATTAAAGGGGCCCAATCAAATCGGGCCAAAAGAAAGCTTAGAAGGATAGGATAGCTCACGATCCATTTCTGCCTTTTCTGAGTTGCCTGGCTCAGTCTTCTCCTTCAAACACAGATAGAACTCTGCATCCTCTGCCCTACCAGGAATCTAGAAGCAGCCTGTGAGGCATGGAAAATACTGTACATGGAGTCCTTAGCCCTAGATAAGTAGGATACATTGAGCATGCATCCCCCGATGAGCTTTCACTTCAGAACCCTTTTTACTCCATTTATCCTCTCAAAGTTAACTTCGTTCTGTGATATTACTGATTTCGCTGTCTCCATATTCCTTCCACGCTCTCTTCATTCAAGATGCGGGAACGCTCGAACTCTTGGAAGGCTGCCCAGCAGAAAAAGAAGAGGGAGGCACGTCGTAAACTGCGTGAAGTTAGAGGTTATAACCCAGATGCTCATCGAGAGAAGGATGCTGAACGGGCCACGGGTAGAGCATCGAAAAAGGCTAAGGAAGTGTACAGGAAGCACGCACGCAAGTACGGGGAGTACGCTTTTACATCTGTTCTGTGTAGCTATACCTATGGACGAATATTGGTAGGTTCCTTATGGAGGTGAAGAACATGCATGAAGGCTTTAGGCTCGAAGAGGGATATCCAGCCCCAACGCTCGAAAGACTCAAGCAATACATGCGATGGTTCATTGAATCTACGAAGGACCGGCTTGACCCTGATGGTCGGCCAACAATGAAATCGACTCAACCACGCCGGAAATTTCGTTCCAGGCTTTTTCCTGACTGGCAACGTATCCCTGAATGTGATGCTGCCGATCTTTATAATGTGAGCAGTCTCATTACTTTCATATAATTATTCACTGATGTTTCAATGTGGATCAAGAAGGATTTGGTCCAAGACCGCACCAATAAAGCAATTAAAAGGCAAAAGTTTGATCTGAAGCTTTGCGATTTTGAACGAGCTATGACGGCTCTGTGGGAGACTGATGATGTATGTGAGAGGTCCCGAGTACATTTTCATTTCGTCACCCTCCAGTTCTTATGTACAGGAGCAAGGATTGGTTCTCTCACACCTCGATCAGATCAGAAATTCGAGCGAGGTCTCCGTTATGAGGTAAGTCACCTCTTTGCTTTAATTCCCTCTCCCAAATTCTCACATCATTCAGAACATTCGACTTGTCTTATTCCGTGCTGTCGATGCCCCTTGGAGACTTGGATTTCGACTTGAATATCGACTTGATCAACAGTGGGCCAAGAACAACATAGATCCCCTTAACAAGGTGTATATCATGCCTAAGTTACAGTGCTATCCCTTCAGCAACATTTTCACATTGGAACCCTCGTGTGGTGAGGTTACTGATATGTAAAAATTGCTAGATTTGGAACAGCCATATGGGACTGCGATGAGCCTATTTATACCAGAGGCAGTTACCTACTCGCTTTGGCTCTTCATGATATGCTCTTGATGGGTTTTCTTCAGCTAAAGATGTCTTTGAGCAAAGAATCCCCGAAGGGCACAACGAACTTGTTCTTCTGTGGACCAAAGAGGCTAAAAATCGTTGTGTTGTTAGACATGCGACGGCGGCAAAAGGAGTTAGTGAGGACCTGTTAACACAGGAACGCTACTCAGAAGCCCTTGGGAAGATATTTGCAGCTGCCTGTTATCATGTGCGTCCTACTGTTCATGCTACCAGTTAATATTACTCAATGAGTATTATGTCTGAGTCTAGCACATGTTTAGCAGACGATGAACGATCGAGAGCATGTAATACACCATTATGATTTTGACGAGCAACACTGATACCGCCCTCCATATGTCACACCTTGTTGAGGAGAAATTTGGGGATCATTCTCCTGCCCAGAAGTAGTAAATATTAGTTCCCGGGCCGATGAGCGCCTTCCAAAATACTAATACAACTAGTATAGCCTACTCCACAGCAGAATGATTGCTGGAGTTGCAGGATCAGGACAGTCTGGAATTTCCGACTCTTATCACTTAATTATCTAGTTGGAACATGCGATACCATGCAGAACCCAAGGCGGATGATGCTAGAAGTGGTAGAGGGGTGGATAGCCTATTTTAAAAGCCGCCGGGTACAATGATTTTACCAGGGTCTACAACACAGGTACTCAGGCCATCCAAACCTATAAGGATGCTATTGCGGCCACCATCGACCAGCGGAAGAAGCTGTGGGACGAGTGCCTCCAGTTGGATTCGCAGGTTGCCGCCGCCCAGAAGAAAATGCTGGTGGCAGAGACGTCATTCAAGCAAGCAGTGGAAGCTAAAGAAAACTGTATGAAGTTCGACGGAATTGTAAGTCTAATTGCCTCGCTGGCGTCGTTTCCTGCAGAGGTCAGCGATGTGGCGAAGAAGGTTGGCGAATCGCCGTTCTCGGGGGCCAGTATCAAATTCGCGACCACGTTGCCTTCGAGTGTCTCAGGGGTCTGCAAGACTATAAACATTCTCAAAAGTGATTTCTCCGATGCGGCAGCACAATGGGACAAGACCCAGGCAGCTCTAGACGCCGATGGGCCGGATTCTGCCAAGCTGGCTGCAGATGCTGCCGCCGTTGACGATGACCTCGCGCCGTATATGAGTATGCCCGCGGCCCAGGCCTACAGAGCAGCTATACGAACCTATGTGAATCTCTGCAACGCGCGAAACACAAAGGTCATTCAGTGCTCCAAGCTGGACGAGGACGTGTTGCAGTTGAATGCGCAGATCACCCAGACGCAGGCCCAGATGGGCGAGCTACAAAGCGTGGAAAGTGGCAAGCTCGATCCGACCCTCGCGCCCTACCGGACCTTCCTCCTGGGGTTGTACAACAATTACAAAGATAGCGTCATGGACAAGTTATTCTACGAAACTATGGCCTATCGATACCGCACACTGCAGGACTTTAAGAAAGTCCTTCAAAGCGGGAATACTCTGGCCGAACTGAACGTAATGCAAGGCCGGATCCTCCAGGCAGTAATCAACTACGAGAATGCAGTGAATACCATCGAGCAGCCCTTTGACCGTCTAGACACTCATCCCATGAGCAGCGCAACCGAGGACTCGATTGTGGCCTTTCGACACGGCGGAGATCTCGTCTTTTGCATTCCTGCCAACGAGACTGCCTTCCAAGGGCTGGCACACATTCAGCTAACAAAATTCGCTGTCTCCTTGCCAGGGGTGCGGTTCACGTCGGACAACAAAAAGGTTTACTTGAGCTTGAAATGCCATGGTGACTCCACAGTGGTGGATCCTAATTCTGGCACTGTCTCACGATTCACACACAACGCCGTCGTAGCGACGTATGAATATGCAATCATTGAGAAGAACGGCAAGGCAGAGGAACGGTACCTTGCGGGTGGCGCGTTAGTTGACTCCGGTGACGGACAGGATCAGAAGTCGATATCCCTGAGTCCATTCTGCACCTGGAGTTTGAACCTTCCCGCAAAGTTAAATGCTGGGGTGGATGTCTCCCAGGTGAAGGATGTGATTCTCTCCTTTGGTGGTAAAGGGATGCCTATGTTATCAAAGTAAAACCGAGGATTCACAAAGGGACTGCAAGAGAAGCTGTCTGTCCTGATATGGATCTCCGCCTTGTCAGAACGATATGAGACTTGGCTGCACCAACATCCAGGATATGCATATATGGTATTATACCCGAACGCAGCTGTATGTGTTGAGTCGTCAAATTAGAGATCGCCAAAGTAACAGAAAACAGGTATATGCATGAATATAGTGCCCAGGGAACCACCATCAGTGCTTTATGAATAGATGCCAAATGCCAAATCCCAAATCCCAAAATACTTTAAGCTCGGACGGCCGAAGCAATTACTACTGTTACATGTTACTATGCACTTGTACCAATGCATCCAAACTGATCGCCAACAAAACCACCTGGGAAGTCTGGCAGACTACCAAACCGCACTACGCTCAGTTAACCCTTCACCCCGTGTTCGTGTATGGACGCAACCCTGTGCAGGCATCTGCCAAGGGGATCCAAGGATCATCACATGGACTTCTCTGCTATACCATCATGACAGGCATGCCTCATTGCTTTCATTCCCAAATTCCCGTTGTTCATATCGACGACGTGGTCGAAGCACACCTGAAGGCCTTGGACGCAGCCATCCTGGACGGATCGCCGTATCCGCTCTCGGGACAGGGCAGGACGTGGAGAGATCTGGCAGATGTTGTTCAGCAACTCTATCCGGAGCCCGGGGCAAATCTCATACTGGACATCAAGGAAGAGTTCTTCTCAACGGACAGTACCAAAGCACAAGCAGAGCTGGGGATGCGATGGCGCTCGTGGGACTAGATGTTGCGGGATGTGGTGGACTAGCAACTGGAGTTTGGGAAAACTTGATAGATCAGAGCAATCAACTGGAAGGGCATGACATGAATCGGTGACAATCAGCCGCACTAACCTCTTCTGCAGTGAATTTGGAAAGTGTCACTGGCATGTACCAAGAGAAGTTCACCATCTGATTGTCTACCATTCCACCTCTACCTCACGGCTTTGATTAATGTTAATCATTATACGTAATGCCTTCGAACGTGTTGACGGCTATACGGTATACAATGACCTCCCTTTAAAGAGTCCATTTGACGATCTTAGACTTCATACAGATACAGATCTCAACCACCTCTGACAAGCAACGGTGCATCCGACGACTCAAGTCCCATTAGCGGGCTGTCGATACGCGACCCCGTCAATAGTTGTAGTCAGCGTCCCATTCGCTTCAAAGATGTTCGTCACAGCATCAATAGACAGCTGGAACCCTCCTGGACCCGTCTTCTTCGTCGCATTGACTACGCCCGTCTGTTGAAGATCTGACAACCAGTTCAGCCTGTTCATCCACGGGTTGGAGGGATCGGGATTGGAAGTGACGGACTCGTAGCCGTTTATTATATGTTTTCCATCATCGGAGTAATTGTCGTACTCCACGGAGATGGTCTGATACCCGCCTGTTGCTGGGTTGGCCATGATGGCGACCTCTGCAATGCCGCTAATCTGCCCTTTAAGGGTGTAGTTCCCTGCTGGGAGTCTGTATTGCTTCGGGATTGTAGCACCAGGGGGAAATGGTGTCGCCCATGGTATCGCGGCAGGGACTTTGAAAACTGGGGCGGGTTTCGTGGGTTGGCGACTAGTACCATGAGCCACCATGAGACGGTAGCGGCGTCCTCCGTCGGCAGTCGAGTTAGGGCATACCAGTGGGTTCACGCCTCCACAGGAAGGAGACGTCACCAAGGCTTGCCAGAAGACAATCCGAGTGGTATCTGGGGAAAAGGCCGGATCTGCGCGGCCGTTCCAGTTAGGGTCGTTAATGCTCCCATTACTGGCGTCGCCTTCGGCATTGACTTGCTGACCAAAGTAGTCACCACGGTCACCATAGCGATCGATCAAGATAGGTTGAAAGAAGCGACGCGGGCCATTGTTGCGGGTTGAAGATGCGGCCGTGACAGCGACAAGGTCAATTAAGGGAGGGACCATGCGCATCCCAGACATCCACATCTGGCGATTGGAGCCCCGGGTGTCCATTGCGACAAACCACCTATTATCGTGAGAGAACGCGACAGGGTCTGTATATTCAGGGTGACTCGTTAGACGCCGAACAGCGCCAGTGACAAGGTGGACAGCAAACACGTCGATATTATTTGCCTCCCGAGGGGAGCCAATGTAAAGAATCTCATCCCCAGAGCCGCTGAATCCGCGCAGCTCTCCGACTGTGATGGCCTCATCATGTAACTCTAGTTCATCTCCGTTTGCCATAATAGCAGCCGGCCCGTTTGATTGAACCAGCACGCTCACATCGACCAGGTCATAGCGAGGGGCTCGGACGTCGCCAGTCGATGGGTTCTTGTTGAATGTAAGTCGGCCAAAGTAAGCAAACTGTCCTCCATTCGACGTGAACGAGCTCCATCCCATGTGCTCATCGTCTGGATGCATACGCATCTCACGGGGAGCTCCACCTGGTCCCGAACCATCTGCGTTCACTGGCCAGTAAATGGGGTAGATAAAGGTCTTATTCGGAGTGCATTCCTCGCTGGTCAAAACCAGGCCGCTGCATTCCACGATGTTGTGGCCCCAGAGAGCCCTTTTCCCACTGCGAGCAACATGAGGATAGTCTCTCTGGGGGTCCAGTGACCGGGCATTTGCAGCGGGAACGCCGCAGCTAAGGCACCTCCATGGGTCACCGTTGGCAAACGTGGTGCCGTCCGCTTTGACGAGGATAAGCTGTTCACCGGTATATATGCTGGCGGGATCCGGAGCAGCCGGAGCGCCTACGAACTCGACATTGACAATGATATGCTTTCCGTCCGGTGCAAAATCACCCGCCTGAAATCCCTCTGAAACCTGACCGATACAGCCCGTTCGATGTGGATTCACGTCAGTGGTGCAGGCCCCAATAGTGTTGCTCGACACGACAGGAGGGAGGGGAAGTTCGACGACTGTGAAGGGTTCAGGGCGCGGAGGCGCTTGCCCTGAGGCTGTCGACAGGTAGAGCCCGGTTAGAACGACAAGAGAAAGAATAGCCATCGTTGTTTCCGCACCTTGGCTTTGCTATCATGTCTGAGGGATATATCGTTGTGGAACGGGGGGCCTTTATTGTGTACACACGCCCTTTGTATCATTTGCCCATAGCCGGCGTTGGGTCGGCTATAGACACATCTGTGTTCTCTGTTTCTCCTGCATCCCGCTGGATGGTCGTAAACCATGCCGTTGAGAGACTAGGTCGCTGCCTGGCAACGAGGTTCAGGGGAAGGAAATAAAGGTCGCTGGCCATTTTGCCGCGAGACTCGACAATGAGCAGTCGATCGGTCATATTTTAGCCCGAAGGCATGACTTGGATGCGGTCCTCAGCAAATGACGGTTATCTCACATCGGTATAATGAGTTAATGACAGTGCGTGACTCCAAGTCTCGGGAATCCCGATTACAAACTAATCTTGCACTAGCAGTGGACCCACTAGATCATATATCGTATTCTTAGCCTGATGGAGCAAGGCACACGGACCCCACAATCCCTGGCCAGGTTTAATATCTGCATACCCCGGATTCTAGTCAATCTTCAATCACAAACCCCCCCGTAAGAAACAATGCCGTCGCGTCGATCCCACTCCAAATCTCATCACGGCTGCACGCAGTGCAAGCGGCGCCAAATAAAATGTGATGAAGCCCGGCCGGTCTGTGGTTCCTGCCGCAGGAAACAGCTTCCGTGTGATTTTCAGAGCTTTGCGCCCCAGAGCTCCCCACATCCGTCAATTGCCGATGTCATTCTAGAGCGTCCAAGCAGTTCTGTGCTCCCACTGCTGGACTTGGAGCTGTTGCATCACTGGCATACGGCGACAGCCAGCTACCTAGCGGATGCTAAGCCGCTGCAGGATGTCATACGCACCGCCATGCCACAGGAGGGGTTGGCGAACCCTTTCCTAATGCACAGTGTTCTGGCAGTTTCTGCCCTTCACCGGGCGCACAGTGGGCCCTTGAACCATGGCCAGATGTACTTTGAGGCCGCCACGATACATCATAGCCGGTCTCTGGCATTGTGTACCCCTTTATTCAAGAACATTACCCGCCAAAACTGCCACGCCCTGTTTGCGCTGTCTTGCCTGGTTCCGGTCTTTGTATTCGCGTCCCGGAGCCCAAGAAAAAACCCGAAAATCTGGAGTCTGATCGAAGTGATCGAAGCGTTCAGACTGATTCGTGGGGCGGCCTCCGTCGTGAACCAGGCCAGATCGTGGATCGAACAAGGACCCTTGCATCCCTTGCTGCGGGTTGGTCAGTGTCAAAGGCCAATAGCAACAGCGGCAGAACGGTGTACTCTGGCTCTGTGCGCGCAGTTGCAGTCACTGGACCTCAATCTGCCGCAAGCGGGGCCCTCATTGGACTCGGAGCTCTTTAACCCGGCGCTGAACGGCTCGAACAAGAACCTCTTAGATCTACTTCAACTCTATCTGCAAAGCGGAGACTCGCGGGCCATCATGGCCTGGCCAGTCGTGGTCGACCTGTCTTATTTTGACTGTCTGCTTCGCAAAGAACGGATAGCACTCCTCACCCTTGCGTTTTACGGGCGCTCCTTGCAGATACTCTCGGGGCATTGGTGGTTAGAAGGCTGGGGGGAGCTTTTGCTTAAGCTTGCTAGAGATCATCTACCAGGGGCGGACAAAGAGCTGCTCAACCGAATCGATGTACCAACGTAATAAGGACAATATATTCTCTTGCTACTCCTTTTGTTTCTTAGAGTGCGATCGATGGGGAATTGGCAACCTTCAAAAGCGCTGCCGTGCAGCATACACTGCCCTTGTGACCTCTCCACGACAGCGTAACAAGGGCTTGTAGTGAGATACTGCTGAATTACCACCGAGACATCAGTCCAATGGCATCTCGATGCTTTCAATGAGTATACTGGCAAAAGGTCTGGACGGCGTCTTCATTTCAGGGCATATTCCGTAAACTACTGTGTATCAACCGGGATCCTCCTCCGCTATATTATGCACCATACTCGATACAGGGACACCCTCTTATGCGATCCTTCGTAAGGGCAGTTCCACAAGCTGCCAGCGTGGTTGGAACTGGCGGTTCTTAACCTAGAGCTCCTCGCGCTTATTCTCCTGAACAAGGCGCTGAGTCGCTGTCTGCGTCTTATGGAATCTCCATGGCTTGATTCTTCTCTCAAACAACTCATCCAGTTCCGCGGAGGAACGACTAGGATGGCCTTATCAGCTAGTTTCTTCAATGTCCGAAGGTAGAAAACGTACCCAGCAGTTTCAGGAATCAAAAACCACATTCCCAGCGCAAAGGGGAACCCGACACCCGCGTAGAACCAGCCCGTCTTGAGGCCCCAATTCCATTCATTGACATTGGTCATGTAAGGTACGAGGACATTCATCACAACTCCCACTACGCAGGTTGTTGCGGCACCGAAGCCGGCGGTATACGGGCGCAGACGCTGGGAGGAGATCTCGCCGATATACCCCCATCCGGTGGCTCCGTTCGCGGCCAGGCCGACATCTGATACGGTTGGTCACTGCAAAGTCTAGTCGGAAGGGGGCTACTACTTACTCCAGAAACAGGCAAACATGACGAAAATATATGTAGAGGCCTTCACCCGCGGTGTGACCCCTATGATGCCGATGGCGACGCAGGACAGCCACGAGAGGGTTGTCCCACCACATGCGAGATACCTCCTTCCCACAAAGTCTACAACGGCCACCAGCACCAGCACCGTGCCGATCTGAATAGACGAGGTGATGACCTTGACTCTGAACGGGTCATCAATCCCGGCCTGCTGGAAGAAATACGTGCCAAACGATCCAAACAGGGTGAGACCGATGAATTGCTGCGAGAGATTCGTCCAGAGCGAGATGACCGTTCGTAATCCGTCAGTTCCCCGGAAGATGGCGTACCATTTCTCGCGGCGTTGTTCAATTGCCACGGCACGCTCGTGTTCCACCGCCAGTACCAGGACCTGTAGCTGATGGTCGGCATCGTAGTCTTTGACTCCTCGATGGAGCTTCAGCAGCTCCTTTTTGGCTCTGTCAAGCTTGCCGGCACTGACACACCATGCGGGCGTCTCCGGAACCAGGAGATAGACGAGCAACATGACGCCGAGCTGTGCCCACTGGGTGTAGACTGGGGTGAGGTAATCTGTCGGGTCACTCCGTGAGAGATGCTGCAGCGCAACCTGGGCGAAGAAGGACCCCAGCGTCCACCAGAAACTATATGCCATCAACAATGCACCACGGATACGCGTCGGGGCCACTTCTGATATGTATGCTGGCACGGTGGATTGCACGCATCCCACTCCGATTCCTGCCAGGAGTTTGGCCACCAACCAGCCCTGCCACGACCGTGTAGTGCACTCGGCAATCACGCTACCGACCAAGATAAACCAGTAGGTGTACATGGCGATTTTCCTCCCGTATCGACTGGACAAGAATGGCAAGCTTGTCATGCCTACGATTTGACCGCAGGACATGATCGAACTCCACGCGCTGAGGATCGAGGAGGCGAGTGCGGGAGAACCATTGTGCGATTTCTTCGTGGCAAAGCGAGCCACGAAGCCCTTGTTGGCGATAACACTGGCGTTGATACTGTACCATGTATGTTAACGTGTCGCCTCATACAGCCAGGAGCGGAACACGAACCCAATCTGATATCCGTCGGTAGCGGCACTGAAGGCCATAGCCACGCATATGAGGCTGGCCAGTTTGAAAGTCTTGATTGTTTCCATGACACTGAGATGCTCGTATCCGGTCATGGCCTGCCCTCTCGTTGCTGCATCCACTGCTGCGTCCCCTTTGACGGGCGCGTCATCGCTAGTTTCGACATGCTCAACGGCTGGGGGCTTTTCTGAGGGGCGTGAGGACTCCATGGCTCAATGACAGGCAACCCACAGGGACAGAAGGTAACTTGGATGAATGTCTGTCATGAGGCCGAGATCAGGCTCTTTAAACATACTGTTTTGCCTCTCATGGCATAATTACCCCCGAGTGGCTCGATCTTGTGAGCGCCTCACAACCCTATACACTTGACTTCTATACTGTCCTAAGCCAGAGTAACATGCATTAACTCGGGACAGCCGGATTCTCGTGCCATCAGAGGCCGACTCGCCTCCCCAGATTGCTACAGTGCGGGGGGCGGTCCTGGGAGCGGATCTGGAGACGTAGTTGAGTCCGCAAGGAGCAGATCTGAAATCATAAACCGACATGCCGAAAGTGACCAAGCATGACCCTTGTGGCGAGTTGCCGTCGTACTTCGAAAACTATACCGGAAAGGGGAAGAAACTCGACGTGGCTGCATTTAGCGTCCCTCAACTGTCTCCTCACGGGCTGCATTACGATAGGCCAATGGCGTGCTCTACCTGGTAAAAGATACGACTATTGGTGTGGAATGTAATGAATTTAGCTGCGAAGTTGAAAAGTATGGCATTCCTCTCTATGACTCTTACCCACAGAAAAGAAGTTTATCCCGAATGTTTTCTACGTTCCCGGAATGTTTCCTTCAGATACAATGCAGAGCGCTTGGGAGTTCGCACCAAGGTCTTATAATCCACGTGTGTGATGCCATAGCGAGGGCCATAGCCGGCAGACCATTCTGGATAACGAATTGTCAGACGGAGGAATTAGTACGTGGAGGCGAGAACATACCGAAATTATCCATCAAACTCCACGCATAGTACCCCTCAACCGGGACCCCATCCTCATAGATGGCTCGCGAGATCGCATCGAGATATAGTCCAAAATATGTCATCCGGAACTCATCATTCACTGTCTCCTCCAAAGACATTTGGCTCTCCCCCGGACAGGGACACCCATTTTCTGTAACAATGATAGGCAGCTGATACCGATTCCACACCCAGTTCAAGAGTTTTCTGAACCCTTCAGGCGCAACCCGCAGCCAGGACATCCCCGAAATGGGGCCAATAGCTCTTCCTTGGGAGTTTGTGGGGAGTTCTTCCACGTTTCCTGTGCAGTCATCGTCCGCCGGGGGGTCGGGGAGAGCCCTGGCGAATTTGGTGGAGTAGTGGTTCATTCCGTAGAAGGCGTTGAGCGTGGCGAGACGCTTCAGCTGGTCCAGCTCCATGGGAGTAAAGGACGGCAATCGATCGCCCAATTGCTTTCGCATGGCCGGTGGATAATCTCGACCTAGGAAGATCGGGTCGCCAAACCACCCAATGTAAAACTCGAGACGGCGTTGCGCGGCCTCCTGATCACTTTGGCTAGACGCATCCCAGGGCTCGTAATAGTGCCCATTCAGCACAATTGAGATGCTCCCATCCTGCGACTGGAACTCCTCAGAGTAGACCTCTACAGCAGCGGCATGAGCGAGGATCAGGCTATGCCCGACCCTCCACGGCTCCGTACGGGAATCACCACCAGTGGCAGTGCTCCTGCCCGGAGCAAGAACACCGCTATGATGTCCAAAGATCGCAATGATATAAGGCTCGTTAAATGTAATCCATTTTTTAACCCTATCCCCGAACCGGGCGAAACAGAGGCGCGCAAAGTGTGCGAAATCAGAGACGAATTCGGCCGTGTTTAAGAAGGCGCCGTATCGGTCGCTGAGTCTCTGCGGAGCATCCCAGTGATAGAGCGTTACCACCGGTTCGATATTGCGTGCTAAAATAGCGTCTATGAGACGGTTATAGAAGGCTATGCCTGCCTCGTTAATGGGATCATCCCGTCCACCGAGGGGTATGATCCGTGTCCAGGCGATAGAGAATCGATACACGTCGACGCCGTACGAGCACATGAGGTTGACGTCCTCGAGCATGCGGTTATAGTGGTCGCAGGCTATGTCGCCGTTCTCGCCATTTGTCCGGGATGGAATGAGATGGGTGAAGGTGTCCCAGATTGACGGGCCTTTTCCATCTGCCGAGGGAGCGCCTTCGATTTGGTAGGCTGCTGTTGCTGTTCCCCATTTGAAACTCGACGGGAGCGGGAGATCTTCAACGGGTGGGAGGGGATCGTAGGGGGGTTCCGGCGAGGCAGACGGTTCAGAGTTGGGATCCTCTGCTTTGAACATGTTGACGTTCATTTTGTCGGTCATCGTGTCTTGGACTTGGAAGTTGTGCTCAGTCTGAAAGTGTCGCGAATGTAGGCTAGCCAGAAGTCTGGACATATAGACCCGGAATTCTTACCCAGAATCAATTGCCGAACGATCCTTGGGATAAAGATGCGCCGACCATACTCCAGTCTGCTTCCAGCTTACCCCGATTCTGAGACATTATGCATGGGTCTCGTGTCAAATGGCCCCGAGATCGTACAAATAAGCAGCCAACCCACAGAAATATGGTCCTTACGAAGCACCGGCTCTCGATCATGACGCGCATTACCAACGTGCAGTTTGAGCACTATCACCCCCCTAACACCATCGGGGTGGAGGAGACTCGTCCGCGGATATCCTGGCAGTTCGAGGATTATCCACCTGATTTCCAGCAGGATGCATACGAGATCGAGGTCTCAGCAGTGGCTTGGAATTCGCAGGCCACTGTTCTTTCTTCCATCAAGCTGTCATCGCCCTCATCGTATCTCGTCCCCTGGCCACATTCTCAGCCTTTGACCTCCCGACAGAAGGTGTCCATCCGAGTCAGAGCCTGGGATCCGGACGGCCATGGCACGGAATGGAGCGAGCCCGCGTCTCTAGAAGTTGGTCTACTCAATCGGAGTGATTGGAAGTGCGATCGCATCGCGGCTCCATGGGGCCCAGATACCTGCGAGCCTGACACGGAGCAGTTGTATCGCAGGGAGTTCAGGCTCGCAGACTCTATTGCCAAAGCCCGTCTTTACATCACCGCCCAGGGCGTATACGAAGCGGAGATCAACGGTCGCCGTGTGGGCGACCACTTCCTCGCTCCCGGGTGGACGACATACGATGGGAGACTGCAGTACCAAACCTACGACATCACGGACTATCTCTCGACCGGGGACAACTGTGTCGGTGTTCGTGTGGCAGAGGGATGGTTTTCTGGTCGCATCGGCTTTGAAGGTGGGCATCGCAATATCTGGGGTTCCCATACGGCGCTGCTAGTCCAGATGGAAGTAACATTCAAGGATGGAGGGTTGCAGACAATCACATCAGACGGCTCTTGGAGCGTCACGCGAGGGCCTATCCGGCTGGCGGAGATCTATGATGGGGAAAAGTATGATGCTACTAAGGAAATTCCCTCTTGGTCCTCAGCTGAGATCTCTCAAGACGCTCCTGGCTGGTCTAGCGTTCTTGTCATGTCACGTTTACCCGAATCTGTCAAGCTCACTGCCGGGTTTGGAGAGCCTGTCCGGCAGATCGAAGCACTGAAGCCAATGTCTAAAATGATTAGTCCATCTGGAAAGGTCATTCTCGACTTTGGCCAGAACTTAGTGGGTTATGTCAAGCTATCCAACATCAAGGGTCCCACCGGGCACAGAGTAATTCTATCTCACGCCGAGGTGCTCGAAAATGGAGAGCTCTGTACTAGACCGCTTCGAATTTGCAAGGCTGTCGACGTGTACACGCTCAGGGGCGGTCAACGCGAGGAGTATGCCCCGAGATTTACCTTTCATGGATTCCGCTACGCGCAGATAGACAACTGGACTGGGGCGCAGCTGGAGACATCCGCAGAAGCTATCGTCTGTCATACAGATATGCAGTTCGTGGGCGGGTTCTCCTGTTCACATTCGCTACTTAACCAGCTGTACCAGAATATAGTCTGGGGCATGCGCGGGAATTTCTTCTCCGTGCCCACGGACTGTCCCCAGCGTGATGAACGACTCGGTTGGTCGGGTGATCTGGCATTATTTGCTCCTACGGCAGTGCTTATCTACGACTGTTTCAGCTTCTTAAAGAACTGGCTGATCGATGTAGAGTATGACCAGAGTATTCTGGGTGGAGTGCCGGCGATGGTCACGCCTAATGCAACGCTTCCCGACCCAGTCTGGTGTCGACGCGTCCCTTGTGCCATCTGGCACGATGTTACAATCCTCGCGCCTTGGGCGCTGTACGAGGAGACTGGGGATGAGAGCATTCTGGCTCAGCAGTATAACAGTATGTTGACTTGGATGCGGAAGGTGCCCCTGAATAGCACTGGGGCTACGCATTTGTGGGACACAAGTGTTTTCAACCTTGGAGTATGTTTTAGCCAACTCGGGTGATATATGAAGCTAATAAGGTAGGACTGGCTGGATCCTGCTGCACCACCAGACGCCCCGTGGAAGGGCACCACGGACGCGAAAATGGTCGCGAACGCCTTCCTCATCCATAGCCTGGACTTGATGTGCAAAATCTCTCGCATTCTTGGGCAAGATAATGATACATCGCGCTTTATACGCTGGTCCGAGTCTGCAAGGAAAGAATTCCAAGACGAATACGTCACTGCGAATGGACGCATCGTCTCCGACTCCCAGACTGCATACGCCTTGGCCATCTGCTTTGACCTGTTGAGTCCCAGTCAGACAAAATACGCTGGCGGCCGACTAGCATATCTGGTCCGGAAGAACGAGTTTAAAATCGGTACTGGCTTTGCTGGAACCCCTTACATCTGTGAAGCACTGGCCTTGACTGGGAATATCCAGATCGCGTATGCGATGCTCCTTGAGGAGAAATGTCCGTCCTGGTTATACCCGGTTACCATGGGTGCGACTACAGTCTGGGAACGGTGGGATAGTATGCTTGCTGATGGATCGGTTAACCCTGGTGAAATGACCTCGTTCAATCACTATGCCTTCGGCACGATTGCGAAGTTCATGTACGAACGGGTTGCTGGGTTGCAACGGGTTGAGCCTGGTTGGCAAAGGTCCTGCGTTGCTCCAGGAATAGGAGCGGAAATCTTGAATGCTGCTGCTATGCATATCACGCCGTTCGGGTTGCTGTCATGTTCATGGGAAACGGAAAAGAATGGTAATGGATCCGAGAGGTTGAGATTGGAGGTGTCGGTTCCGTATAGTACGACTTGCGATGTTATTCTTCCTGATGGAGATGGGGAGAAGAGGGAGACTATTGGTCAAGGGGACTGGGTCTTCGAGACGAGCTTCACTAGAGGCTATGAGTGGCCTGTCGAGCCTTTGCCACTTAAGTCGTAACAGGCCTTGTACCTTCCACAGGAGTTAAAACCTACGCTATTTAGCTCGAACCTATCTCGGTGATCCCAAGCTACAACTGCTCTAACCAGCACAGAGGGAGCTCTAGCAAAGTCAGTGGGACGCTAAGCCACATAATACAATAGGCACTAGACTGACTTGGGCAATGTACCTTAACAAGGCATTTTTCGATGTAAATCAAAAATCTGGACGCCACTTCCTGCCGGTGGACACACAATGCCAATGTTGGCTCAATGGTTTCGTTCTACTTGCTATTGAGAATGGTACCAGCCTCGGAGACAGGTCTCTCCTATTAGCAACTAGGCGTAAGGGTAAGTTCATAAAGAAGTATTTGTTTATATAATTCCTCAACCTCCATACAATGGCTATATCCCTTGTTAGTAGCTGGAGCCATTTTCTTATAGTTGTAAGTAATTTTAAAATTTTCAATTTAATCCTAATTACATGGGTCCAACTCTCTCTGCGAAGTTGCTTTCTGTCAACCCTGAATCAAATTGTCAACATAACTCCGAAATATTTATATACCATGGCTCCGAAAGGCGACTTTGATCTCATTAAGGGCCAACATCGGAAATCGGTATCTCGCGCATTATGACCAATCCAATCTCGCCAATGTATATGCTAAGGTACAGCAATCACCTTTATCCCATGTGAAACAGTTAGCAGCTTGCCGTATGCACACAGCCATAACATAGTCAGTTCATTGGCTGCTTTGCGTCAAACATGGTGCAGTTTTGGGCAGTTAGGATCCAGCGCAGCCCACCCCAGCCCCATCAGTTTTTCCTCTTCAAAAACCTGTCATATCTATATGGAAAGACTTCTTAAATTCTCTATCACCTACTCTTGCTTTTATTAGACTTCTGTCATGGCTGACCCCTTCTCCGCGGCTGCGGGCGCTGTAGGCGTCATTTCTCTAGGCCTGACAGTTTGTCAAGGTCTTCTTGCTTACTCGAAAATGAGAGTAGAAGAAATCACTCTATTAAGGTACTCGAAAGGAGCTGTTTCTGTAGTGCGTAGCAAATTGCTCCATGACATAATTCTGTTTGTTGGCTGATTCTCTACCAGCATTCTCCATTGCTTTGTCGTCTGAGCTGGGAAAATTAACTTCGCTTGGAAACAGAAATTAGCCACATCCCCAGCTCAACTCCAACTTGTGCTGGCTGGTCAAGCATGCTAAGATGGCCTGCTTTCTCAATGACCACGACCTCCTTAGCCTTCAGCGCGATTCCCAGCCTCCATGCGCTCTCTACCGGTATCCAATTATCCTCGGCACCCCAAATAATCTTGACTGGCAACTGCGACCCGACTTCCCCATATCGTCCTTCAACTGCTTCCGTGGATCTTGAGTTAGCCTGGCATAGCTCCCGTATGAATCCCTCTTTCCCGCCCTCTCTAAGCCAAGGCGACTTTAGCATCTGCATAGTCTCCTTTGATAGCTCATAGAAGGCGGCATTCCGGATGTAGCCTTCTAATATACCCTCAAATGCAATGCCAGGGAGCTGCTCGAAGTGATGGGGGTCATCGGCAACAGTCTTGAATAGGGATTGTCCAAATGGTCCAATTGCAACCACATTAATAAGGCAGAGACTTGCATAGTGACAGTCATGCAGCAGGTATGCTCGCAAACTGAGCAAGCCAGCATTATCATGTGCTATGACGTGGGGCTTGTGATTACCCCAGTCTGATTGCCACAACTGAAAAAGCGCAGCGTAGACCTCTGATTGTCGGGCAAGGTCAGCGTCAAGCTCAACAACTTTATTAGAGCTGGTAGTTGCGCCAAGGAATTTGCGCTCCGGAGGAGAGGCTCCGAAACCAGGCCTATCAAACAGATAGACATGAAACTGTCGAGATAGAGAGAGAGCAAAAGGTACCCAAAGACGGGAGGACCAGGGTGTTCCATGGATGAGAATAAGGGGCGGAGAGGCAGGGTCGCCTAGCGAACACCATTTGACCGTATAGCTATGAGTCAGATTCTCATAGTGAAAGCTCTGATTTAGTGACGCAGTGTCATCATTGAAAGCTGAAGTCATGTTTCTTTATGGCTTTATGAGCCAGGCAAGGCTTGCTGGTATCAACAGAGCGAATGAGGGACCAAACTTTTGGGAATGAATAGAAGCTGGATATCCTTGCCACTCGTGGCAAGGGCCTCAGGGGGAAAAGTAAACCTGAAATACCCCGCAAATTATTTCGGGATCTCGAAGACCTGATTCAGGTTTAAACTGTCGTCATGTGGGCGGGGCCAATAGGCTCGATTTGCCTAGGGGCCAACCAGATATTGTAATAAGTTTTCCGCGCTAAAGCCTTGGGGGTGGGGCCGTGAAAGAGTTAGTGTGTATTGGTCAAGCCAATTTCGCGAATGAGTGTATGTACAGCCTATGTGGCCGTTGTTCTGGACATGACTTAGTTTGCCACGGGTCACCGACAGGCCGTCTCTGTTTGACATCGATAACATGGCCAAAGCAGGACAGGCGCGAGAACATCTCAAGCGAACCAATGTTGAGGAACCAGTATGGACTGCAAAAGACATGTTTCTTAACTTCATCTTAGCATGAAGCACGGGAAACTAGCAAGGATGCAGTCAGGTATATAATTCTGTATTAATCTCAGAAAGGAGGTGCCTAATCCTGGCCATGAATTTATAGTTCCGCATAACAGGACATGTAGCCTTTTCGCTACTAGCTTGGGACTATGGTTAGCCCTCATCCTTACAGACTGAGGAGCAGCAACTGTACCTCTACAAGGGGAGAATAGATTCAGATTATAAGGTTTCATCTAGCTATAGCGGTGGCTACATGGCAGACCAAATCGCTTCAAGCAGTAAACATAAAGCAATTTGACGATGTGAAAACGCTTGTTATGGGACTAGAACAAGCTATTGCAGATGTGCCACACGATGAGCGTGTGGCGGAACTTTTCACACCATACCTCGGCGTCCGGTTTGTAAAGGATGACAATAATTATTTCTGGGCGCCTGATACTGAAAGCGAACTCCTTTGGTTTGGAGTTCGAGGTATGAGAATCAAATGACTCCAGTGAAGTTGAGGGGTTTATTGCGCTGACTTCGGAATTCATGAAAAACACAATCGACGCCCCTGCTTACTTCCTTAGACATCACTCAGATGCTACATGAAACAAGCCTCCAGTACTCCTCTGTGATACAAATGTCGACTGGTTTGAATGGGAAGATGAGGCCTTTGATGATAAGGAAGAGGGAATCCCTCAGCTTGACAGTAATGGACAACCGACGGGAAATATGCTCACCATTGAGGAAGTCTATGAGGACTTCTTCGGAGATGATAGTCGTCCATTCTGGGTGAGATTCCATAAGCGATATGTCTTCATGGTGAAATATAGCGATAATAACAGCAGAACCTCCCCTGATGAGAAGAGCATGGCCGGCAGCACGTCCTATAGACACGATGAAAGTTGAACAAATATTTTGCAGCCAGACTGTCAAATACACGGCAGCGTCAGAAGTGATGCTCATTTGCCCCTGGCTTATAAACGGGGAAGGACTGGCTGCACGTCTGCTGAATGAACTAGCTTGGCCGAGCCCCAGGAGTGAAGTTCCGCTGGACACGGCCATGCCAGTATCCGCGACTCTCCTTCATGAGTTGACCCATTTGGTCACCATGTGGCGAGAATTTCAGTCAACACCTGCCGGTAACTACGAATGTATTAGAGACCATACCTGTGATTACTAATTTGCCTCTTTAGAGGCCTCTGTACGAAGGACCAGCTTCTAACTTATGTATGGACAGATTACCTGGATGAATGTCTTAATTTGGCATCTGCCAATTCCATCGAAAGGGCAAAAGCTAGCTTCAATGCAGAATCGTATACGTTTTTTGCGGTGGCTTACTGGTGCTACAAGAAAGACTTTGATAATGGAGAAGAGCCTGTACAGAAACATACAACAGTCGGGGCTCCTGGTAGTCACACACCCAACTAGCAAACAGCTGGCATATGGCTTACCGTTGGCGAGTATTTGGATGCCTGCTGCCTAGATGAACAATGGGTGATCACCAGCTGAGTGTTGCATGACCTGGTCTCAGAAGGGATGGTGTACAATAGAAACAAGCTCCGTAATGCGAACTGCTGCACTGGTTTCCTCAGGTATGCTAAGATACAGCAGTCACCTTTGCCCCATGTGAAACAGTTAGCAGCTTGCCGTATGCACACGGCCGCAACATAGTCAGTTCATTGGCTGCTTGTGTCCAACATGGCGCAGCCTTGGGCGGCTAGGATCCAGCGCAGCCCACCCCAGCCCCATCAGTTTTCCCTCTTCAAAAACCTGTCATATATGGATAGACTTCTTGAATTCTCTATCACCCACTATTGCTTTTATCAGACTTCTGTCATGGCTGACCCCTTCTCCGTGGCTGGGGGCGCTGTAGGCGTCATTTCTCTAGGCCTGTCAGTTTGTCAAGGTCTTCTTGCTTACTATGGGCCATTCAAAACATTTCACGAGCAGATTGATGAGATGGCGTCTCGAGTATCATCCCTAGACGGAATCTTGAACGCTCTGCAAGGGGTACTCATTAATGCACATGTATTATCCAACTCCTCTACAGCTCAATCTACGGCTGTTGCTATCGATTCCATTATATGTTGCCACAACGGACTGCAAAGGCTAAGGAAGATGCTTAAGAAATGTCACAGCACAAAACCAGCCAGCAACCTACTGGGATCCGATATTCAAATCAATCGGATGTTGTACCCTTTTAGACGTGACACACTGATGACACTCATGGAAACGATAAACTGGTTGCAATTTAACCTCAGTACGTCTTTGCAGATACTGAACATGTAAGGCGTCAACTAAACGAAGTCTGTGAGCCTCTCGCTGACGGGGATATAGTTCTATGATGACTGTCAACCAAAGGCAGATGGATTTGGTACTCAGCAGCTCATCGTCTAGCGCATCGAATATAGACCTGGTTCTTGCAACGGCAGATCGTTTGGACCAAGGGAGTCTTGGTCTTGGTGGAAAATTAGATACGATTGAACAGCATCTAAAGCAACTGGTACGACTAGAACTTCGACTGAGAAGCTTCCCTAGTGATTGTGACACAACTACTCACTACTTGCACTAAGGAATCCAACTTTCTTCGGTTCGAAACCAGCCAGGTCCTGACGCCGGCTTTACTACGGTCAATACTGGACAATCCCCAAACTTCTGACAAAGCCACTGGCAGATCTATAGCTAATGGTCACGTTCAGCCTAAAACACCCCGGATGAGATGCTCATGCCCTTCTTGCAACTGGCCCACATACTCAGTTGGAAGGGCTCTGAAAAGCGGTACAACTTATTACAGTGGATGCGAAGTTCCGGCACAGAACAAAAGGGTCATTTCATTGTTCAAGAAACGAACATTCCATATCTGGAATCTAAACGTCTCGGTTCAAGCATCGTTGACTATCACAAAGGCAGCTGGATGTTTCACTATTAGTCCCCACATTGAGTTCCGATCAGTAGTGCCGCTAGATTCGCCAGTATTTAGCCTTCTCGAGGATACCAAGAAAGGCTTGGGATCACCAAAAGCGAATTTTGTCATTCATAGTACCCATAAAAAGCTGCTCCAGCTATTTCGAGAAGGCAACGCATCATATTCTGACACTCTACCAAATGGAGATACAATATTACACGTGAGTGGACTACCCATGCCAAATCGAAAGCTCTGCCCTAGCTTGCGAGGGGGCTTATACCTACATGAACGCTTGTCACCAGGGAAAAAAAAATCGTCTAACTAACTCTTTCAAAAGTTGATAACTGGCTGGCAACAGTACACTTACCAGTGGGATGCCTCCTCATGGCTAGCCTGGCGTGCTTTGATCAAAGACCTCTTACGGAATGGGTTGTTACCGGATCGTGTTAATGACCGTGGAGAAACCCCAGCGGACAGAATGATAGAACATTTTAAAGCTTATGACAGGCGACGAGATCCTGGCCAGCAACAGGCTACACTTGATATTTGTTCTGATATTCTGAGCTCGGGAGGCTACATGACGCACATGGCCCTTGACTGGAGGCATCATCCGAACATTATCGATTCTTTCTATCTTATGTTCGGGCAGCATGATTGTCTATGCGAGGATTACAGTATTCGACTTGTTTGGCGGCTTGTTGAGAGTGATAAGATTGAAGGTACAGGTTTTCACACCTGTGTCTCGAGACAGCAGAAGCTAATTCACATTAGACATCGACCTTCCAGAAGAGCTTCTTCCTCTGGTAAATAGGTCAGAGAATTATCTTCAGACGCTACTTAGAAAGGGAATCAATTTCCAGCGCTGGGTTGACTCCTATACACACTGGCCAGCAGGTCTTGCTTTACTCCTTCAATCTGGTTATACAACCGGTTCGGCCACTCTTAGAGCGGCATGTGAAGCGGACTGCGAGGACAGCGTCAAGAAATTGATCAGGTCCACAAGATGCTACCTCGGGCCTGACGAACTACTAGTGGCTGCTAGACATCATCATTCAGGAATTAGGGAACTAGTGGTCCGAGAATTCATCGACCGCAGAAAACGACTAAAGGCCGTAGCAGAGACCTTTCTGTCAGACGAACTGTGCTGTGAACTAGGTATTACACCTAATACTCTGTTGGGATTTGATGCCTTTAGAATCTACGAGGCTCTAGAGGCGAGCTCTTTTGATGTTGACGAGTTTCGGAGATTATCGACATGGAGGGTGGTCAGTCTACGATTCGACCGGAGATAATCTTGAGCTGTCAGATCAACTGTGGGATGCCGGCTTCCGAGATGTCGACGAAGTATGCGAAACTGGCAAGAGTTGCCTTACAAGGATAGAATGGGGTCCATTGGTATGGGAATTTGTGGGCTTGTTGAGAAAAGCGAACTGGCTCGTCAGCAAAGGCGCCGACATCAGTCACAATATATCTGGCTCTTCAGCCTTGCACATCTTGGGACACACTGTGGGGACGGCTATTTATCTGGTGAAGGACACCGAGGAATTCACTTCACATTTGAGTCAGATGAGCGAGGACTGCAAGAGACTATTGCGCAGAATAATTTGCGATCACATTAGAGACAATTGCTGCTGCCCCTATTCTTTGGCTGGATGCTCTGCGCTCACGAGACTCTTGGGCGGTCTTTTCCCAACAAGATCTAAAGAAGGCATGGACGAACTAGTACAGAGACTTGCGACGATGTTGGAGATACTTTTCGACCCGGAGGAGTTCCATACTCGGGAATACATCACAGGCAAAGTTGTCCCATGTGTCTTACGCTTTATTACTTCTCGAAGTCTGGGAATATCTCACACATGCAGCCATGAAAGGTACCAAGCCTACGAGCCAGACGAGATCGCAGAGATTCAAGATGAGGAGAAGGATTCGATACGGCTGTCGCAGCAATTGGTTGAAAACTTTCTCGCGAAGTACAAAGAGCAGACTCTAGCCTTACCAGATTTCCTGACAGGTTTTTGGTGGACGCATATGAATGAGGTCCTCTCGACATGCCAGCCGGCTAGTGCAGAGGAGATCAGTCGAATCCTTGAAACAGGGGTCACTTTGCATATATAAGCACTGAAGAAACTAAATCGGGGTTCCCACTCAAATTCAGATTGGATACAATCATGCTTAGGAAATTTTTGCGTGCACATTATTAGGCATCAACTGGCGCCCAATACTATCCCAGTATATTCTATTCTCAATAAATGATACACCAAGAAGTGAAAGGGGCTCAGTCCCGAGTGGCTAAAACTATGTAGGGCTAGCACACATGAGGTATCAGTATAGTGAAAAGATGCGTTACCGGTTTGAGATCAAGGTAGTCTCCTATAGTTAGCTTGTTCCCCTGCCAGTCGTCAAACCGTGCAAGTGAGACGGCCTTCCAGGACTACCAGGACTATTGAACACTGTCTGAACGGAGCTGAACCACTTGACCCATGCAGAACAAAATTCTAGGAGTGATCAGGGAGGAGAGACGAAAATTCAGTCCATTGCCCCCAGGTAGGGGCGGTTCAAGTCAATCGGCCATGGGTGAAGAATGGAAGACAATCATATGTAGTCAGTAAATCACTGTATGATCCACTGCCTGAGCCTTTCGATCCAACATTTACTAGGCGCTACTGTTTATGGACATTTACACAACACTACAGGAACAACCGGTCTATGTCACTGCTCATTTCCGGGAACACCACGAGAGCTGCCTGAAGCCGCTGCAACCCCACCATGCAGCTCTCAAGGCCAACTGTTAGCTCTGAAATTCGTCTGGCATCCATTTGGGAGATCGAGCATTGGATCTCATCTGCTAGCGCCTTGGCCGCAAGTTTATGTGCCTGCACCGCCAGAGTAGGATACTACACGGACTCGTTAGTCCTGAATTTCCAGGAGACGCTGTCTTTTACGTACTGGGTGCGCACTAATGTCTTCAACGTTCGCCTTTAGGCCACTCTTGCCTTGAAAGCCTGGACTCGACACGCCTTGACTTGCCATGGCCAGATGAGATATCTGCATTGCGCTCATACGCCGTTGGTCCCTGTGACAGGCCCTTTTTTCCTTGAGAGCGTTCCATAGCCGCTCCCTTGCCGTTGATGACGACGACGTTAATGATATCTGCTCCGCAAGTTGAGACTCAAGTTGGCAGATAAGCTCGCAGAAAAGAAGTATAGCGAGGTCGACATCCGTGGAACAGAAATAAACGCTGCGTAGCACGTTGGGTCGTGACCGGTGCAGACTCATGGCCGCCGAGCGATCAATTTCGCCCCAGGCCAATCTCCAAACATCGATCAAATTTGTCATTGCGGAATAGCACCTATGTAGTTCTTCATATTGGACTTTATCTGTCTGGAGCTGTTCGAATTTCAGGGTGAAAATGGCCAATGTTTGCCATAGGAGTATGCCGATGGAGCCTGCCTGACTCACAGCTCGAGCCACAATCTCGTCGGAGATCGGGCGACCCCATAACGCGGTTACTCTGTACGTATCGGTTTGGGCTCGCGCGATAATGGAGTCTTCAAACTCTTGCCTATAACCCCAAACCTGCTCTCGCATTATATCGATTGTCCAGTCTGAGCTGCAGTTGCAGCGGACGAAGCGAGTAGCGGTACAGAGCACTCTTCCCGAGTAGACTACTGCTGCTGCGTGAGACATGGAGGCTAACCACTCAACAGCAGCGATCAGTTCCAGGATGTATTTTTGCACGTCAGATGGCAACGTTCGGACTGGGTGAGGTTTGCTCGCAGCCTCGACTCGCCTTGTCCGGTAGGGAGGATCTTGTGACGTGTCAGGGTCAGGCACGCAATGTGCACGAGCTTCAGCACAGAGTGTCTGGAGGCGCTGAAGGCCCTCTCGCGTAGCGTAAGCCGCGTCTTCAAGAACGCTGCTGCTCCCTTCGGGCGTCGTTGGTGGGAGCAAAGTGCCAAGCAACAGCAAACAGAGTGCCAGGCGAAAAGATCTGGTGGCCGCAATGTTTTCGAACACCATCTGTTTTGCCTTTTGCCAGGTCGCCCAGGCAATGTCCCTTGCTCGTCCATGGGACCCGCCCGTGCCGGGAAGGTCATCCTCCTGGACTGTGAACTGTGACGCTGCTGCTATTGCTACCCACTTGTATGCCTCGTTTATGGAGTCATGGCGTGAGCTATAAGTCGGCATGGAGACCTGAAAGAGCGCATCAAGGAGGCTTGCTGCGAGAAATATCTGTGGCGCTGCATCTTCGGAGCCCGACGAGGTCACACTTATATTCCAGAAGCGGTCGATCCTGGATCGCACAGGGTCCAGATAAGGACTGATGTAGACACTTTCACCCAATGGCCCGAGAGCCGTAATACCCAAGGAATAGCAAGGAGGCATGCACTCCCGCGTCATGCACTGAGCCAGGGGCATGTCGACGATATCTATGTATAGATAGAGTCGCTGGAAGCACACTTCATGTAATACCGCCTGCCTGGCCAAGTCTCCCTCAGCGGTTGCTATGGAAGTTAGACTACCTAGTACAGAAGCGGCCTCCACATGTTTTCTCAATATGCCTTGGCTGTCTTTGGTCGACCCGTCCTCTGAAGTGGACCCGGTCCTTGTTACAGGGCCTTTCCTAACTTGTCGTGAGCTTTGTCTACTCGCAAGCCATGTAACCGTACATTCCACACCACGCAGCCTGCAGGTCGAGCAAGCTGTTAACAACGGCTTGTGATTCTGGCTGGCGCCCCTTGGCGGCAAATCGCATGCCCTTTTTGCCGAACGGCAGGGGTCACAGCAATGATTTTGCTTCCGTGCGCGCTTCCTTATCCCGGGCAGCAACCCACGCGGAAGTTGGGAATGATCATCCGCAGGAACCTGGCTAATTGGGGCTGGGCAAGGCAATTTCTGTAGCACAGATTCGAAGGATTCTTGCCATTCCGCGGCTCTGTTCGTAGCAGAGGGAGCCGCAAAGGCGCCAATGGGATCCATTTCCGAGCCGCCGGGAGCAGTGGATCCTGCATTATACCCTACTCCTTCCCCCATGGGGTGCGGAATTGTAAGTGGAAACTGGCTCATCGGGGCGCCCATTATCAAGCTCCAGTCATCGTGGCTACAGGGATCGTAATTGTGAGCGTACTCATTCGCAGGCTCGGAAGCCATCTTCTTGCATCAAAAGCAATGATAATAGAAAATCCTGGGATGTCAACGTAGGGAAGAATAGCAAGCCCTGGAGAACGGGCGAGCCACTCCTACTTAACCGCAGGGGGAGAAATACGGATCCGCGGATCCGCGGCTCCCACTATCCTAGATGAGTGAGTTCCCATAACCCCGCTCTTTCTCTTGTTCCAGGATTTGGATTTGCCGTTAAGCTACCGTAATAGTCTAAACCATATGGATCGGCTATGTAAGGAGAGATGGGTGGACTGGTTAAGGCCGTTAAGGTGGGCGAATTTTGTTGGGTCAAGCAAATATTGCTCGGAGTCCGCGGGATCCGCTCTCCCTCGTCAGGGAAAGCCAGTCAGGCAAAGTGGCTGAAAAACTAAGGAGCGATGAAGCGGCAAAGGATGTGGCCCCGGATCAATCAATAAGCCTGACTTCGGGTGCGTATGGATGTTCTGGACATGCAACAGCGGGGGGCCTGCGTCGTCGGTCCCGCGGTAATACAACTCCCAAAACATATCAGCACCCAAGAAGGGCAGCCCTAGGCACGATTCGAGGATCGGTATGGACATATCTGAACGTCATACTCATTGCCAGGGACAGGATAAAGGCATGTCCCTTGCCCTAAACCTGATGGTGTATGCTTGAACAGAAAGCCTCTCCTCTTGAACCTCACGGTACATATGAACATGCGCCCTTCACACAACACGCAGGATATTGATTACGATGTGGTGATTGTTGGGGCCGGAATTTCCGGAGTCAACTTCGCTTACCGACTTCAGGAGCGAAATCCGAATCTGAACTATTGTATCTTGGAGGCACGCCATGAGATTGGCGGGACATGGAGTCTTTTTCAGTATCCCGGTAAATAAATGGAATCCAAGGAGCCTCCGAGGCCTTGAAAGCTCCAATGGCTGATCCATCCTACCTTGCAGGTATACGGTCCGATTCCGATCTTCACACCTTCGGCTTCGCGTGGCGTCCTTGGCTAGAGAAAGAATCCATTGCACAAGGCTCGATGATTTCCAATTACATTAAGGAATCGGCCGAGCAGGAGGGAATCGATCGAAAAATCAAATTCTTCCACAGTGTTGACAGGATATCTTGGTCTACGGCAACGAAGGTATGGACTCTGGATATAACCGTGAAGGACCCGGGAGCTGCTAAGAAGTCCCTACGCACACGGTTCATCATGCTCGGGACCGGTTACTATGACTACAAAACACCCATGGATGCTGAGATCCCGGGAATAGCGGACTTCCAGGGCACGGTGGTACATCCACAGTTTTGGCCAACGGACCTTGACTATAGTGGCAAAGACATCGTCATCATCGGATCTGGCGCCACAGCCGTTACGTTGCTGCCGGCACTGGCAGAAAAAGCATCCCATGTCACGATGCTGCAACGTTCACCCACTTATATCATGCCGGTACCAAAGGAGAGCATGTTCGACAGAGCCATTAGATCCATATTCCCACATTATTTGGCGTTTGGGATTATCCGTTTTAAATGGATCCTGATGTCGCTGTTGCTCGTGACCTACTGCCAATGGTTCCCCAACCACGCTCGGAAATCCTTTCTTAGAAAGGTGAAGCAAGAACTACCCCAGGGGGCGTCTCTCGATCCTGACTTTACTCCCTCATATAATCCGTGGGACCAAAGGCTATGTGTGTGTCCAGACGGGGACTTCTACGCTTGTTTGCGTCGTGGTAAAGGCAGCATCAAGACAGGGGTCATCGATAGAGTTACGCAGGCAGCTATCCGACTCAGATCAGGCGACGAGCTCAATCCAGATATTGTTGTGACCGCGACAGGCCTTAGAATGGCCATGGCTGGCGGCATCGAGATCATTGTTGATGGCGAGCCATACCAGGCTGCGGACCATTTCATGTGGAATGGTGCCATGCTCGAGGACCTGCCCAACCTGGTTCTCGCGATTGGATACGTGGATGCTAGCTGGACTTTGGGAGCGGACGCAACCGCACAGCTGGCGAGCCGCTTGCTGAATAGGATGAAACGGGATTCGGTGAGCATGATTGTGCCTCGTTGCAACAATGATGAGAAGAAAGGAATGAGAGAAACTCCGTTCCTCTACCTGAAGTCAACATATGTCCAGCGAGGGAAGAGCGTGTTGCCAAAGGCAGGCAATCGTTCTCCGTGGCAGCGTCGGTCATATTACTGGAAAGACATATTTACTGCTCGCTGGGGTGATATTTGGGCTGGCATGGAATGGTCGAAATGAGAGGACCTGTCTACTGCGACCTCGCCAGGCCTTTCTTCTCAGTTTGTTTTCGCTGTACTGCGGCATTCTGGATAGCTGTCACACAGAGCATAGAGCATAGAGTTAGTTTCTTGAGAACCTCTCCTCTTCCAGGTCCTACATGAGCAATGGATTGACGATGTTGTCAGCGCCGGTGATTCACTCTATTCTCAAATGTTAGATACACGTCCACTCAAAGATATGCTCCTAAAAGGTAAAATTATTCACCATCACAGCGTTTTCAAGATGTGGATAGTCCTCGTCCGGCAGTATTCTGCGCTAGTCTGAGTGTCAATGACGGATCATGTCGGGCTTCTATAGACAATGTGTCGTCCCGTCAGCTATATCATTCTAGTTGATCGAGACTTAGTAATTCCCCTGGGAATTCATTGGTCATGTTGAATATTACAACATCTGTTGTTCAACGAGGAATGTTCAACAGCTTTTACGTACATTACTACAGCGAAGTAACATCGCCAGTGACTGATCGGAGATCTGGGTCGCACGACACATGATAAACCTTGATTGGAAGGACACTACCTACAACATATGATGAAAGGAGAATGAGTCGCGGATTGGAAGTCACAAACATCATCCACCGCTAAAGCCTATGCCCCTTGCCCCAATGCCATGGACAAATCCCGCGCGGCAAGGGCGCCGCTTGCCATGGCGCCTTCAATCGTTCCTATTCCCCAGGTTGCTATGTCGGCCCCTGCAAAGTAAATGTTTCCATGCGGCTTCCGGAACATTGGTGGGCCTGTTGTTAGAGTCCCTGGCCGGTGCATCATCCACCCCCCCTTGGAGAATTCGTCAGCAACCCAGTCATGGCAGGCCGTATCAACTACTTTAATCTCCGGGATGAACTTGCGCAGGGCTTCCTGAACTGCATGTAAATCCGCAGGGTCAAGAGCGGCAGCGTCAGCGCACATGCACATGATAAGCGTGTCTCCGTTATAATGCTTTTCGAACCTGGCTGCGCTGATGGGATGCTTCCCGGGCGGCGCAACCATCGAAAACGGCTCCATCTCGCCCTTCACTCGGAACCAGACCTTGTGAGCCATCACTGGGTTCCTCCGCTCAATCATCGAGCGCGCCGCTGGGGGTACGTCTGGGCTGATCTTCAGGTCGCCCAGGGTATTCAGGGGCAGCGCAACCACGGCCGACCGAGCGTTGATGAGCTGACCTTGGCGCGTGGTAATCGTAACACCACAGCCTCTATCGGCCACCGCACATACAGGCGTGGAAAGACGGAGCTCAACATTCGACTCGGCCATGATGGTACTTATGAGCTGCTTGGTGCCTCCCTGGATACCCCAAGCTCCGGCGGTCTCGAAAAAGGCCGTGAAGTCTCCAAAGGTCGTTGCAGCCGCCTGCAGAAGCTGTGCAATCCCCTGTTTCTTGCATGAATGGATGACGCCTGCTAGGAGTCCCTCCAGGACATCACGCTCGTAGTTGGACAGGTTCAACGAATTAATACGATCTTCAATGGTTTCCTCTTCGATCTCGCGGTTCTCGAGAAGGTCAACCTCGAATGGCACCGGGAACCGAGCTCGGGCGTCTGCAAAAAGTCGCTGTACTAGTGGGATGACTGTCCCATACAAGTCTTCGCTCCCACCAGAGTGGACAGCCCCATCGGCCAGCCAGTAGAACCTGCCCCCTTCCATGGGTGGCTTGAGGGACATTCCGTGGCGCTGCAGCTCACGCCAGACGTGTGATTGTGTCCAGTGGACATAAGCTCCTCCCAGTTCGAGCTCCAGTTCCCCATCGAGCGCGTGGTCCATGTAGGTTCGTCCTCCAATGCGATCACGGGCCTCTAGGAGCACGACTGAGTAGCCTTTCTGACTGAGATCCCTTGCGGCGACGATTCCCGCCATTCCGGCCCCAATCACAGCGACGTCGAATTCGTTCGGCATTTTGGGCAAGTCGGCTTAATGCTGTATATTCGGAATGCGATGGTTGGATTACTCGAGACAAAGATTGTTGGGTTGCAGTATTGAATTTGCTCCTCAGAGGACAGCTATGAGGGTCTCTGATATAAGCCCTGGGAACGGACATTACCGAGGCTGGAATGAGGCAATGCTGAACGACGCATCCAGGAACAAGCGGTCAATTGTACTAGGACTGCAGATCATTAAGCTAGCTAATCGAAAGCGCGGATCCGCGGATCCGCGGATGGGGCTTGAATTGTCACGAGCAGTAATATCCATGCCATTATTGTGCCAGGCATCATTATTCCACCTCTTTCCTCGCCATGATTTACGAAATGTTGGCAACAGAATTCTGGACGGAAAACGATCGTATCGAGGTAGTGACAGTTAAGCTATTGAAGTGCTACGGGTTGGAGTAGGTTGATACTCTAGGAGGATGATGGATCCACGAAACGGAAGCAGTCCAGCCCATCATAGCATCGTACTTGATGACGATGCCTGTCAACAAAGAGTTGCTAAATTTTCTCGAGTCCAATATTTTGGGTGATCTAGAGAAGGGAATAGGAGCTATTCTTCGCCACTTAGCTGTCAAATATAGTATTCACACGGCTCTTTCAACGGACCGAACTAGCTAGGCCTAACCATATCTCCTATTGCATTGCTCAACACGAGTTAGCTCTACCTGAATGAAAACCACTAGACTTTCTCTATGATTTCATTCTTGGGGATGCCAACACGTTCCAAGGCCTCGTAAAATCTGACCGGGGTAGCCCAATCTTCCGGACAAAAGACGCCATTACGCTCGAGACCATCCTCAATTGCCATGACCATGAAGGCTGCACATGCCGTTCCCGTCGCAGTACCCATAGTTTTGCTTAGAGACGCGTTCTCGTCTGCTTTGGGTGTACGCTTGGTGATCGAGACAGGAAGACCATTGCGTGTGCCAACAGCTCGAACAAGCAAGCCGGTCCCATTTGCCACCACCTTGCCCCGAGCTGTGTCGACGAGGAAGCTAAGGATCTCCCCTGCCGTACATTCCCCTGTCCAAATCTGCTCGACCATTCCCCACAGAGCGTACCGTAAGGGGCTGAGCTTGCGATTCGCGTGAGCGACCAGTTGGAATAGCTCCTTGATCGTGACGTCACCGCCGCGGAACTGTGCGGCCATTTCACCAAATGCCTCACCCATTCCTGCCAGGGAGGACTCGTCGTTGGCCAGATGAAACAGGAAATCGACAGCGTCGCTCATGGTCAAGGCATTGCGGCGGACGGCGCGGCCGAGACCCCTGGCGATCCCGTTAAGCGGGGCAGGATCCAGGCTACCAACACAACGGATTCGTCGAGCGTTGGGAAAGAGGCGTGGAAAGGTGACTGGCTCCGGATGCGCAGTCTCGTGGAGGAGTATTTCTCCTTCGCCGCCCAGCATTGGCGCGTAAGTCGTTTCAACCCATGACTCGTTCATTGTCGGCTTGCCGTTTGCCCATGTGAGGCAGGGGCCAGCAGCAATATGCATCAAGTGTTCCAAGACCGCCTTGCCGGTTTTGCCCTTTCCGTCGCTGACACTCCAGCAAATGTCGATTGCGTCGACGGTATCGAGCTCCGCAGTGACATCAAGCACCATCACGTTGGACATGCCTGGGGAAACCCCGCATCCGATGTAGCACGGCACCCCTTTGGTCTTTGCACGCTCATGGAGGGCAAGGGCGGCTTGAGTGCTATCCACATCGTCATCAAAATCAAGGTAAGGCACCTTGGCTTCCAGGCACGCGGTAAGGACGGGTTCTGAAGTGCGCATATAAGGCCCAGCACCAAGCACAACCAGTGCGGCACCCTTGATTGCTTCGAGCAGGGCGGCACGGTCAAAGAGATCCAACTGCTTCGTAGAGATGCGGGAAGGTGGAAGATTGAGTTTGGCGACGGTCGTCTCGAGCGTGGAGAGGTTGATATCCGTGAGAATCAGGGCATGGTCACTTGCCTTGGCGAAACGCTCGACGGCCAACCGGCACATTTCGCCAGCGGCACCGATGAAAATCACTGGTTTGGGGGATCTGAGCGAACTCATCATTCTTGCGCTGAATAATACGGGTAGTAAAGGAGTCTGAAAGAAGTCTGAGACAAGTGATGTCGATGCATCCTTTCACAGAGGAGTCAAATGTGAAGTTATATACACCTCAAGCTCGCCGTGATTCCCCTATGTAGGGTCGAATCCGGAAAGCAGACAGCTTCCATTCTGCGCAACTTTCAAGCCATCGCGATGAAATCCCAAGCAGCATGAGATGCACTTCGAAGCTACCGAGCGGATCCGCTTACGGCTCCATGGTCAGCCGCGGCTGCGAGGCTATTAATGAGTATGAAGATGTGTAAGAGAAAACCCGTGCGCAAGGACATGTGGTAAGACACCCTTCTACGGAGCGCGCGGGTCCCGAAAGGAACATCTCCGATTATGTTGCATGAGCAGTTCAATGGTTTCGAGGGCAACCGCGGATCCGTCAAACCCAAATGATAGTTGGATGATATGCTGCTCGCAAGTATGCAGCAGTTTACTTGTGCGGATATTCCCCCAAAGGTCAAGCTGAACATTCCTCTCCGAGCAGCCATTGGGCCCAAACAGTCATCGACCACGGAATATACGCACTGAGAACTGCACCGTTTCTTTGAGAAGCCGAGTTGATGAACCGGAAATGCCAAAGGGGATGGACACGCCCTCCACCCAATGGGTAGGGGCAAACAGTTCCGCTACCTATTTATATACAACCCCACCCTCTCTCTGCCTGACTGCAGGCTTATCAGTGTAGTTGAAGCAAACAAAACATGCTGTCAGACCAAACTGTGACGTCGCAAGCAACTAAGTGGCCCCGGACCAGACTTTAACGTTTGCCTATGAATAGGTCTGGCAGTGCCCTCATGGATGATTGAGGTGATGCTATCTAAATACGGTGGTGATTAGCATGGGTGCAGTTTATGGAGGGGTGATGTCTAGAAAATACATTCACCTAAGCTAGAGAATACATCACTAGTCTGAGCACTCATTGCACTTGGAAGTTAGAACAAACTTGTTGCATACTACTCAGTCACATTATTCTCAGTTATATTAAAACTATTATAGGTGTATGATATGTAGTCCTTTCTTAATCTAACTATAGTTAGATTTAGCATATTTGGATTATCTTATTAGATATATGATAATATGAGAGGCTGAAAGCTAATATAATATATAGAGTTCACCATGAGCATGAACAACCATTAAGGTTTTTATATATATATTCATGTATTTTATTATGTTTTAAGCGGTAAACCACAAACTCACCTAATATGGCTTAAATCTATTTTTTATTAAGTCAGGATAAAACCTCTGCATATAGAGACTTATCTAAATAATATTTTATACTAGAATTATTAGTATATAAGGATATATTGTAACATCTTATGGTCACAAAATGCCCGGTTTTAAATAGCGGTTTATCCAACCCAAACCTAAACGAATCTAACCATTGATAGTTAGTAGATAATGTGACTTGGCCAGGAATGGTTTAGCTATACCAAGCGTCGATTTTTCGGTTAAACTCGCACCGAATCGGAACGGATCAGGTTTGATTTTGGTTTCTTAAAATTTATACTCTAAATCGCAGCGGCTCGGTTCCAACTGGTTTGAACTCGCCCGAACTTGGACCAAATGCAACTCTAGGATAGCCCGGCTCTAACCTCCCTATGTTATTAATAAGGATGTTATTATAGCTATATTTCTGTATGCAGCTGTCTACCAGCAGCCCAGCGCCTCAATAGATGCAGCATTAGTAAATAGTAGTATCTATTTCATAGATATCACATGTGCCACCATTAGCCTCTACCTGGGCTTTTTATTTACCTAGCTGCGGACAAGGTGCAGTTTCCATTAAAGATAAGGGCACTGTGTTACAAAAGTTTTATAGTGATGGCAGCACTAATACCCTAACCTTCTGGGGCTGTTTAGCTAAGGCTGATGATAATAGCAACTTTACCCTTTAAACTTAGTATTAGGGATATTGGAAACCAAGGGAGTAGAGACAGAAGGCTTAGGCCTATATATATTGGACTTTTTTATTTATAAGCTTAAGTTCTGGTTTTAAAACTAGCTGTACTATTTATATGGGACTTCTTCATATATTATAGATTATTTCTGTCAGGGGGATTCCGTCAGCTATGTCTATAAGTTCTTTAGACACACTCTGAAAATTTAGTTTGCTTTATCCCCTGTGATCGTCAGGTCCATCTCTGTACTAGCCAAGATAGATATTATGTTTACCCAGGTTGGCATGGGAGTTATGCATCAGACATAACTTACCATTATTTGCATTGGACCTAGTTAATCATCCCAAGATGGATGTCTTTATAGATTATAGGGACTCACAGGATCAGACTCCCGCCTTTCAAAATTGAAGTACGCCTGTTATATCCTGAAGGATCCAGCATACTGACCCTTAGAGAGTCTACCACACCAACCCTTGCTCTCTGAATCCTGATTCTCTTAATTCTCTTACATAGCGTCCCTTGCGTGCGCATATGTATAGTGTAGTTGCCTACCGCACTGTGCCCCATGCTGTCAGAATACTTCCGTATATTATCGACATGGAATTATTCTCCCAGATATGCATCAACTTTCATCGCAATAACATCTTGCCTGGTAGTTCCAGCCCGTGGCTATGGGAAAATTGGGCCATGTCCTGGAGCATGCCAATTTGTCCATGATCCTAGCCTGATTCGCAGAGACTCTGATGGAGAGAACAAATATCTTATCATCTTATGCATCTGCAACCTCCATTAAAGTTCCATGAACAGGACTAGTTCATCGTGGTCATCGGCTCCAAAAATAACACTAATCCCCATTGAAGGTACCGAGAACAATACCAGGCGGCAACACAAACCTCAGTGCAGACACAAATGTTAAAATGGGCGAATTCAATAGTGGAGGGAAATCATATCGCACCGAGACGTAAACGTCGGCAGTTCCAGGGCATTCAAAATTCAAGAACCGAGGCTGGCATGCCGATACATAGGCAATGAGTTTCCCAGAGAATGCGAGGATTGTAAAAACCGGCAGTAATCAAAAGTCAGGCAAATGCCGATAATGGATGAAACTTGGTTCGTTGTTCCCTGGTGGAGGATAGAGTTTGGTACCCAAATTTCAGCACTCGTATAAATCTGACCACAACAATTAAGAACATGGATGCACCTCCACAATGAGCCATCAAATTCGATGGTTATCCACAAACAAGTTGGTCCCTTTTTGAACTGCTGTTAAGCGCTCTCATGACCCATACTTGATCGAAGACAAGTATTTGGGATATTCTAGATTCAGTATTTGTGGACCATTCCCCACCTTGACTCAGAGCAGTACCCATAAGCATGCTTGTTTCCAGTCTTGCCAATAATTGAGAGTTTGTACATACTCCCAACGTAATCACATGCTCATCCATATCCCATATATCGATTAGTTGTATACTGTATATTGCATCTCGCTTTTGGAGTAGACAAGAAGTTATATAAGAGTTCAGCAGGTCTGGGTCCGCCATAATCCATCTCCAAGTATAGAGGCAATCTTTGGGCTCCTTATATGTAAATCTAGAGACACAAGCTTTTGTGTAGAATTCAGTAGCACATTTCACATACACTAGAGATAGAAAGGAGAGAATCCTTGTGTGTCTTGCTCAATTACCCATAGAACAAGGGATTCCATTTATTAGGACTTAAACTTTGTTGATAGTGGTGGCTTAAGTGCTTGCTCCTGTGGCCGGCAAGCCTTCGCTGGAGGCTTGATCAGGGACACCGTGCCTATAAGAGGCTTCTCTAAATGAAGAATAAACGCCATCGTAATGTCTTAAAGCGCTAGGCAAATATATTATTCATTAACAGGCATTTTTGAATCAGTGTGGTCATCGTAAGGAAAATGAATTAGACTTCGATGCTTTTGATGCTGTAGCCTGATTCCGCGGGTGTGACCATTTGAGCTTTACTATTGAAGGCCACGCAGGGTCCTTGCCCACGATGCCGAGGCAAATATGGTGGGATTCTCATCAACTTCATTAATGGATATGCGTGATCAAGTAGTGCGGAATTACCAATACAGCTTAAACCAGCCAAGACTACAGCTGGGTTGGCTCTAGGGATCATCCATACCATGTCTCACTCAATCCAGTGGAACTGCATCCGCGCTGTTTCGGACCCGAGATATGGAAGGAGGATGGTATGGAAGAGTTGTTAGTAGATCATTACTATATAATAGGCGCAGGTTCCGTCCCCTAGTCTGTTCATGCTCCTCAATCACATCATTGTCCTCGAAAACGCGCCCACTACGCAGCGTACTTGGCAACATGCGGTTCCTCTCCGGCATTGTATCCGTTCTGTCCTCGTTGGCTCTGTTGGGATACGCGTACCCATCTTCAATCGATGTTAGAGGTACTGGCTTCGTGCTGGGAACTTTCAATTCGTGCCCTGACTCATTGTCTAGGTATCCCAACTACCCAGCTCGATGACTTCAAGTTCTGGGTGCAATATGCTGCAGCCACCTACTGCCAGCCCAACTATGTCGCCCCAGAGGGTACCAAGCCAACCTGTTCCGTGGGAAATTGCCCTGATGTAGAAGCAGCCGACACTTACATCAAATACAGTTTCTCCAAGTCAGTCACTTATACATACATTACCCACTATCTAACACCAAATAACATCTCACAACAGCAAAACCATCGCTGACACCGCCGGCTTTGTTGCCGTAGACAACACCAACAAGGCTATAGTCATCGCCTTCCGCGGATCCTACTCAGTGCGCAACTGGATCACAGACGCGACCTTCCCCCTAACCGACCCGGGGCTCTGCGAGGGCTGCCAGGCCGAACTGGGTTTTTGGACCGCCTGGAAGCTCGTCCGCGATGACATCCTCACCATCATCAAGGACCTCAGATCCCAGCACGCAGAGTACAAGGTCGTTGTCGTGGGCCATAGCCTCGGCGCAGCCATCGCCTCACTCGCGGCCGCTGACCTGCGTACCGAGAACTACGATGCAATCCTATATGCCTATGCTGCGCCGCGCGTGGCTAACAAGCCTCTGGCGAAGTTCATCACGGACCAGGGCAATAACTATCGCTTCACTCATCGCGATGATCCCGTGCCGAAGTTGCCACTTTTGACTATGGGTTATGTCCATGTTAGTCCGGAGTACTATATCACTGCCGCCGATAACGCTACCGTCACTGAGAAGGATGTTTCTGTCTTGGACGGAGATGTGAACTTCAAAGGCAATACGGGGACCGGGCTGCCTGATGTTTTGGCGTTTCATTCGCACGTTTGGTACTTTATTCATGCGGATGCTTGCAAGGGGACTGGGTTGCCTTTGAGGTAACTTATTCGCTCTGCTTGCGGCTTCCAAAGATGAGCTGGACGGTGATCATTTTATACTCCTTGGTACTCCTTGGTTTGGCATATTGTTCTATTGAGGTAAATGCACTATACGTATATAATGACTGTGTCGATGAATTTGGAGCTCATTGAACAATTTCCATGTAGCAGCACATGTAGCGCACTCAAACTCTCACCCAATATTTCATGAATAGGCTGTATCCTCGCCTGTATACTACCATCCCTCCCAGGCATAATGGACCTCGTATCTACATTCGCATTACCATGGTTCTTCAGACCGCCTTCCAACGACCAGTCAGAGTCCCAGCCCTGACAAATGTGCTCTTCGCTCGCGCAGAGCTCTTATCCTGCTTCTGCGGTGTCGTTTCCTGATCCCACCGTGCTAGATTTGCCAGCCAGTAGACTATATTGTGTGGAACGCGGTATCAACAATAGAGCCCCCGGATGCTCCGTGGCTCTCTTGATGCGTTTCTTCTCCAACCACATCAGAATCCCAGGGACTCCAGCCGCCACACAAGCACAACCGACGAATAGTCCGGTAGTCCAACTTGGCCGGTTAAATCGATTCATCGCCCACATACAGGCAGCAAGGCAGATCTGAAAGACAGTATTCAGGATATTGCCCCAGATAACCACATGTAGTTTCCACCTCGGCGTAGGCGTAGGACTTCGTCCTTTAGAGGGGTTATACTGAGTTGTAGTAAGTAGAGAATTCCCATTTGGCTCGGGACCCTGGTAGAACCAATTTGCGTGAATCGCCGCCAGACGATCGAACCACTTCCGCCGGGTTCCTGCCCCCAGACCTAGTCGCCAACGGTACCACAAGTAGAGATCTCGAATCCGCCAGGGCGCAAGCCCGAACCCCGTGACGCAAAAAAGCGCATTGAGGATCTGCGAGTCGACCTCGATCCAGATCCGGCGAGAGGAGTACAGATCGTTGCAGCTGGGATGGCACATTGCCGGTGCGGCGTTGCACAGTAGTAGAAATAACATCCCACCCCATGCAATTACATTAAGGCCGTAGACCGTAATTGCAAACCCCAGGGGCGTCAGGACCCAGCGGCCGAAGGAACGAGCAGTGGTGGTCCATGATGAGGAGGCCTCTGCCTATCGGCTTGTCAGTGAATTTGGAGAAATCAGGAGAGGAATTAAGGGCCGGAGAAAGACTGACTGTGTCCTCTTTCTCGGAGGAATGCTTGATGGAGGCAGTGTCATTAGTTTGAGAAGTAATTAGGGCCATCTTCAAGTTTTCATCCTTGGAGCAGAGGAGAAAAAGAAGTGCGGAGGTTTTTCAAAAATTCAATGTTAAGAAGGCCCTCGTTCTCATACCCATAGCCATAGCCACGGCGGCATTTCCTCGATTCTGCAATGGATACGAGTACGAATGACGATCAAACCTTACTCCAATACCTCTGATTCGCTGGGGATCGGTACCCACTAGCATGCTCGCAATTATAAAACGGTTCTCCGGAACATGCTCCACCCGCACAGCCCAGGAATTGGCGCGTACAAGCCACGAAAAGATATGCACAGGAGTACATCAAATCACACTCCAATCAGACATGACTGCCTGTACGACATTCTCCTTTGCTGCCTGCCTAAACTCAACTTACCATGTCGATCCAAATACTGAGAGTGCATGTGGGCTACATCATCATCCTAACAATCTGCCCAGCAGAGACGAATCCGGGGGAAGATAGCGCTTTAAATATACTATATACTCGATTGAATAAATATAACAAGTCAAGCAAAATAGCAGGAGTTAATTAAGACAGCAGCGACGTGATTTAAAGGACACTTCTCCACATCTTGATATAATGCTCTGTCCTTCCTGGTCCATCTCTCACAACTATAGCAGCTTTTAAAGCCCCTGTCCTTGGCAAGTGTCTGGAAGGCGACTCCTTCAGGCAAGTTTCTTGTGATGCCATCAAATACAGTTGCAAGCTTCTGGGCATTCTGTAACTGACCCTCCACAAAGCCGTTGATTACTTGCTTGTGCATCCAGTTCTGGTTCGCAGGAACATCCTTGATTCGATCTGCGAGTAACTGAACAGCCTTCTCTAGCTGAGACTCTGGAACAGCCTTCAGAATGAGGCCCATGTCTGCGGCCTCCTTGCCACTTAGTAGATCCCCGGTGAAAAGCATTCGTTTAGCCTTCTCAACACCAATGCGCACCACCCACATGGCAGTCGTGGGGCAACCCCACACACGGGCGGGCGGGTAACCGATGCGAGCGTCCTCGGCCATAACAACAAGATCACAGCACAGAGCAATATCGCTCCCGCCGGCGACAGCAGCACCGTGAATCTGTGCAATGGTAGGTTTTGCACTATAGAATAGCTCTGCAAAGCAGGCTGTGTTTTCCCTCATGGTGGAGTAGTCTCGCAAAGGATCGTAGCCTTTACTAACGTCCTGGCTGCCGTCGGTTTGGCCCCGCGCAGCGTGTTCTGCAAAGATCTCAAGATCGTAACCACCACAGAACCCCGGCCCAGCCCCTCTCAGCACAATGCAACGGACCATGGGATCAGCATTTGCCCGCCTCACAGCATTTCGTATTTTCTGAGGCATGGACGAGTCAATGGCATTAAAGCGTTTCGGTCTGTTCAGGGTTATGTATGCGACTCTCCCATCTTGAGAAGTTTCGTAGAGAACGCTGTCGGTCATGGTGGACAGAGAGAACGTGAAAGTCTGGGAAGAAAGTGTGCTCAGATACAGGAATGAGTTCAGCTCGGCTTGTCTAATATGTGGCAAGTTGTATCTGTTGACCAAGCCATATTTTGTGTTAGCGCGGTACCTGGAGCGAGCTTCCTACTGACGGAACGGAGTATATGGAAGAGAATTTTGACACCCTCACAGACTTGGACACAAGCGATTGTCATTCCTGGTAAAGTTACGAGGCTGATGAAAGAATGGCAGCCGAACCAGACACAACCTCAGCGGGAGATATCCGACGGAGATGCCTCCGACGGAGACGGTCCGCAACGTACGGAGAAGTTCACAAAGGATAAGACCTAACATACAGCATTAAATCCAAACTACCCTAGGCAAAGATCAATTGTCGCTCGTCTAGTTTGGTCTTCACTATTGTTCGGTGCGTGGTCGGCATTCACTGTTACAACAACGGTCATGTTAGAACATTGGGCCCAGAATTTGTGGAAGCACACCATATTTCTTTGGGCGGCAGCTCGTGAAGCTTATTGGAATGCCTCCAGAGCCAGCTGGAACTAGAGAATCACCAGCTACATGTAACAAGTAGACAAATGTGGGTTTCCAACGAGCATTCTGCCTAACACGGGCCTGGCATTTCCTGGCTTGACCCGCTCCTCATTTTTGTGGCCCTAGCCACACAGCATCCACACCTCGAACTGGCTGGAAATTACAGTTTTTCCCTTGCTTCACCCATAGTGGACCAGTCCAACTGACACCGGACATTTCGGATGTTTCACCCCGCGATAAACCCACAGCATTTGGTGTATATGGCAGGAATACTACCTATCCCTAGTTGCTGCCTTATGGGGATATTCTTTGTCTCCATTGCCCAGTTCAGTTTATGAAATGCCCACTGCACCGACTCGTCCGACAATTTGGCCCGGTCAATTAGGAGAGAGGTCACCGAAGCGTACTTGTCGCTTCAGAGCGGTACAACCCAACTTTCCCTTGACCAACCCTGGCTTTATCTATGAAACTGTATTGCCATCCTAGCAATAAGTTGATGTCGACGTTGGTCAGAAGAAAACCAATGCAAAAATTATGGTGGCCTGCTAATCGTCGCTCGCCAGAGCATGGTGAATGATCTGTATCTCAAGGTCCCCAGCCAAGGAAAAGGAAAGGCCTACACGACCGGACTGGCCGCACCTTGACACCACTGGTTATTTCTCGTCTTTTCGCCATGGGTAGTGGGGGCCTCGTTCCCGTCCACTCAAATGGGTAAGGAAGCTGCGTAGGTCTGTCGCGAAATCGATGCGAAGGAATATCTCGAACGCTCAGCAGTAACACTTGACGGTATCCGGAAGGTGTACGGGGCAGCTACTCAAGTCGTGCCATATTTCAGAACCAGACACGGCCATCGAAGCGGAGAATTCTCGATTCTATAAGGCCGGGCGCCCCTGCACCATTTCATGTTGTATTTAATATACGCCGTCCATAAAAAGGTACTCCGTAAAAATGTTTGCGCTAACACCTGTTGCCGCTTTACCGACCATGATTTATCATTGATGGCGCAATATTGTGCCGCTATGATTATAGATACAAACCCCAGACTCAAGAGTACTTTGCGTCCGGACTCCCTTTTTGACCTAGTGGTGTTTTATTTCAACGATTGCCTAACTCGTCTGTATATTGAAGAGTCGGCTCGTCCTGGACACTACAGTATATACATTGCAACCAGACTCCGGAGTTTAGAGTACTGTAGAGGATAAAGATACAGAACTGGAACCATCTCGTGTCGCGAGCAAGAAAGCTCTGGCCGACTCACGAATGAAGATGCTCTATCCTGCGTCGGACCAATTCTCACGCAAGGTTGATCTGCAAGCCGAGCGTCGCGTTCATCACGGAATTTCCGTAGAAGAACTCCGTCCTACCAGACCTGTCAGTTGAATACGGCGACAATAAGGGCAAACAACACATACCCAGCATTGCCGACATTCACGTATGTCGACTCAGTAAATCTGCCCAGATTGGCCATGGCGAGTAGCCAGTCCTTGAGATCACCAGAGAAAGAGCCCTCAAACTGCTTGGTAGGCAGAAGGCTGCTGACCGTTATCCCGGTGTCGGTGTTGATATCCTCGTATAGCGTCCACGAGGTCCCAAAGAGGTTGTCAATGGTTGCAGCCGGTCCTTTGGTCCAGCCGATGGGCAGTTGGCCGCCATCATACTGCAGCCACAGCATGAGCTCGCGTGACGAAGAGGAAGTCGAGTCACCTTTGATGTCATTGGTCATAAAATCGAAGCAAACGTTTCCTTCTCGGAGTATTAGTATTCAAGGCGGATCTGAGACATAGCGAAGTTATCGCACCCTTAAAATAAGTGGTATTGGTACGCGCCCAGTTGTAGACTGCCGGGATTGAGTCAATAGCGGGACAGTTTAGTCTCGAGATTCTGGGTCAGGCCGACAAAGGAGTACCCTTTGGGGACGTTGCTCCTATGATAAGACCATGTTAGGCAGTTGATGTCGACACAGAGTCAGAAAGCTTACGTGCTCTCGACATAATCGATGTCTGTCACGCTGCTCCATAGAACCTCCTTGGTGCCACCGTCGCTCGTAGTGACCCCAGCGTAACTTGTGCATTGCATGCCGACCATCTGAGCCGCATTGTACAACATGTTGTAGACAATCCATGGTGAATTTTGAAGGATGATATAATCATAGTCTCCGCAGAGAGCGGTCGGGGATTGAGCCCGATCGACAACATCTAAACGGTTTACTGCTGGAAGAGCGCCGATAACGTGAGCCAACAATAGAGCCGCCAGGGCAAGAGACCGTCTGAAGCAAACCATTCTGTAGTTGTAATTTTTGAAACCAGCAGAATAGATTATTTGAAGGAAACTGTGAGGATAGGTTGGACAAATTCTCCAACTTACAACGAGTAGTTCTTCGAAACATTCTTATAAACCATCGATCCGCCCCTTTAGCAATACAGGGCTGATCTACTTCTAACATTCAAGTGGGTCCTGAGATGATCGGGTGGAGCCAATCTGGGACGCGGTCTGTTTCTGATGTATGCTTTTCATTGATTCCATATGCTGAATTCCGAAATACTTCTCCGTTGTGCAAGAGGAGTTACAGTGTGAATAAGTACAGTAACAGTGTGAATAAGTGCAGAGACCAACATAACTAGCAGAAAGAGAGCGATTTTGCCGAACCGCGATCAAACAATTGAATGAAGACAAGACACTATTGTATACTGAAAGTATTGGACAATTAACTAGTTAACACACTCTATTCATACAGACTATCTGTAGATCCATCTCAGACAGAGCCACTGCTGGCATGTGCCAGTTCTTACAACTCCATCGCTGAGAGACAAGCAATAACAATAATAACGCCCAATTGCAGTGTCTTCGGTCAGAAGCTATAGCGATGCTCTCGACTGTGCTTCTTCTGGATTAGAAATCAGATACTAGATTATATAAACCACGTTGAAGGCTCTGAAAAGCTCAATAGCTAAGCGTCGGAGACACTGAAGAGTTATTTACCGGGAGTTGAGTCGAGCATCCGGTCATAAATCGAGAAGCCTTTATGTTTGTGTATGAAATCTATTGAGGTAATGTCCTGCCTTGTAGTGGGATTTTACCACCTCATATTTTACCGGGATTTCTCTAGGATTCTATCGCTGCATAACCAATATTATTTACCATTTGCCGTATATTGCAACAAAGCCAAGAGGAGACAGGACATAATGTCCATTGGTAATTCCACGAGTAGGGCACTTGACCTGAACCTCCCAATCCACGGCGCCAACAGCTGTCCGCGCAACAGACAATCCCACGGATCATGCTTCTGCTTGAGGCTGTATAGTTGGTTGTAGTTGGCCCCATAGAACGCCGGCTGCAACAAAGAAAATGGGACAGCCATTGTAATTCAGGCTCATGCATATATACCTTTATTAGGGGACTATGCAGTTACTCCATACGTGGCTTCAGGGGAGCACAAGTACTGTTATTGATCTAAATATAAATGCCAATTACCCGAGTGTATCATCCGTGAACAAATCCTTGAATATGATGGTTCATCATGGAGATGCGTTCCCCACGTTCGCCATTGTTGTGCTCAGATTCTACGATTGCTGCAATTGGGATCATGTCCGCCAATCGGCATTTGCCAGACCTGGTCACTGCCGGTTTTCAGAGTCCGCATTCTTCGGGAGATTTATTATGATGGCATGCCAGCCTCGATTCTTGAAAGTTGGATGCCCTGGAAATGCCGACTTTTACGCCTCGATGCCATGTATACGTTTGTTTCTACGATTGAATTTCGCCCATTATCACCCAATTATCAGGGCCCAGGCTTTTCTTGTCGACACTGGTCGTCTTATGGGTTACTGGTCAGACAATATGGCTCATATCAGTCTATTATGGGACAATTGATTATTTCTGATACCAAGAATTCAGTCAAGAGGAACTGTATGCGAAATTACTCTTGCAATACTTGGACGAACAGATTACTTTGTATCGTACTCAGTCTTCTGTCAAGCTGAGAAATGTCTACCTCCGAGAATAGGACGCTATAATTTGCTACTGATTAGCGAAGCCTCCAAGTTTTCAGGTTGTCTCTCTGAAGATTTCCAGTAGCAGCTCCACTTGGATGTTAGAAGTCTACAGAGTATTGTTTCTGTACGAATAAAGAGCCATGATTCGTAGTGTCCGTACTTGGTTTACTGCGGAAAGAGTAAGGTGGCGCAAGTTTTTCGGTAGGTCGTTGTCCTTGGCGTATGACCTGAACAAATCAAAGCAAACATGTCTGGAATAATTTTGCTCCACAGTGGCGCCGCAGAACATTTTATGATGCTATGTGGACAACCCTACCGCCGGCTGCCCTTCTGAAACCTTCCTCTTTGAAAAAGGTAGAAATAGTGGGAAACAACCTAGGAGTCATTTGCATAGCAAATGGGTCACTTCATTATCAAAGACTAGTCCTAAATATCAATATCAAACTCCCTACAAATTCGCTACCGACTCTCATGGTGCGCTATACATGTTCTGTTGCATGCCATGCTCATTACAATATGCCACCGTTGCGGAGCTGTTTTCTGTTTATCCTTATGCTGATTAGCCCAATCTGTCAAGCTGCATGGGTGAAAAAATCCCGATGCGGTTCATCTCACCCAAGTGCCCCGTCGGACAGTCCTTTCTGGATTGATAGCCTCCATGGAACATTCGACACCTTTGATGCCTCGATTGTCTTGTCATTATCCCTATTAGGTGTCCACAATCAATCACGATTCTCCTGCAATGACCTCAACTTGACGGGTTTTGAGACCGACTTGCGGTTCCACGTGCTCGGGCTTCCAGTAGGTCAGGTAGACGCTTTTCGGAGTCAATGCCCTCTACCAATCACTGAGACGCTCACGCCGTAAGTATTGTTGATTGCTCCCTAATACACACTCACTTATACAATTTTCAAGTCCCGAAGGGCTACTTTTCTCACAATACGAGCTTATATACTCCCTCAGCCCTGCTCATCAGCTCCAGACCCTCGCCGCAGAGTTTAGTATGAAAACTCATAATGGCGTCGAGCTTGACTGTGCAGGGGCAAACATTACCCCAGAAATTGGAACAACAGCCTCTGCAGCTCTTACATATACCCCTGCAGGCGTGATGGTCCTTGTCGGCATCGCTTCGTGGCATCGACACTTCCACAAGCTCGGAAGAAACTCGCCGTTTGAGTACAGTACCGCCAGGATTAGCCATGACCCTGTCCGGGAGATAATTTTCGATCTAACTGATTATTTACGCTACATTCAGTTCATATTCTTGGCTGGGTCGCTTTCCATTGAATACCCGGGGTTCTATCAACCGATAGTAGGCCACCTGGCTTGGTCTTCGCTTCTTTACTGGACAGGCCCGATTAATCATGGCTTCAGTTATGCTGGAGTGGAGGATGGCATGTACGTTAGCAATGCATCTTACGGCCTAGAGCACATGGCTCAGATGGTCGGGTTTCCTCAAGTGCCGGATATCATGCTCGACGCATTCATCAACCTCTTTATACTAGTTTCCGCTCTTATTCTGACTTTGCTGACCTTGTGCTTGATAACGTCCAATCAGCTGCCCCCACTGAGTGCGATGATTCGCCAAGCAGGTTGGATCATTCTCAGTATGACTCTGCCATTCTTCAGCTTCCCTCTATTGTCCTATATGTCGTATGAAATGATCCTTATCGGGTATCTTCCTAACTACCACCTCACTCTAGTCGGGGTGGCGATGGCTGTTCTCGTCTGTTCAAATTATCTCAACGTTCGCCAATATGAGAAAGAAAAGGAACAAAGCGCTACGTCATCAATAGGACTCTCCCTCCAGGACGACCAGTCGACCGGTTCGAGAGAGTTACTGCGCTGTTTCACTTTTCTACCACAGGCTATTCAGCTTCTACAAGGTATCATGATCGGAGGATTACAGAACTGGGGTTTAGTCCAGCTACTCGTGCTCGGAGCTTGTGAAGTTATAGTTCTTCTCCATATGATCCTACAGCCGCACTCCAGGTTCCTTTTCTCAAAATCTATTTGGTGTGCTGCTGTCCGCCTCCTGACTCTCTCACTGAGCATTGCGTTCGCACGCCGGTCGAGTGAGACAGAGAAACAATGGATTGGCTACATAATTTTGTGCCTTCATGCTGTTATAATCTTCTTTGGTTTCCTTGTCGATTCAGCATGGCAGCTCTTCCGAGCTGCTTGGAAGAGAATCGACGGAAAGCAAACCTCGTCAATGGATCGAGCAGACCATGCTCATGCGTTACCGGTAAGCCATTCCGCAGATCTTTCATGCTTGCTTCCAATGGCTGATTGGCTGTCGCAGCGTGTAACACTTACCGAGCTTTCTCCCGACGCCCGTGACCATAACACGGTATATAAATTGGAACACAATTGTGATAAGAATGGCAGGCTCTCTAGCTTCCGTTATCCGGGACCATCCGGGACATTCTATAGAGGCTTCGACGACGAAGACCACCACGACAACAACAACATAATGATTCCCTTATCCTCCGCGCCAGCAGATAGAAAACGAAACATAACCGGTTACTCCGCTTTTTATAGACCTCCGCGGCCTGGGATCAGAAATCATGTTGTCGAGCCTGACGCCTCAAGTCAAGAGTCAGACTCCATAAACTCGGCCAGGGGATTAAGCGAAGAGATATACTATCATCCGGATTCGGCACGGCGTCGCCGAGACACTCTGGATGAGCTCTTGGAGGTGCCCGCCAGAGATGATGTGGACTACTCCGTAAGAGAGTCAGATTTCTACTATGGGAGACCCGCCGGCGATTCGGCACCGCCTCCGACATCAATTCCGCTGGAAGATCCTGGAAAAGAACAGACAGGCCGGGGTACTTTGTATGAATGGACTTACAGAACTGTAGCAAGGTTGAAAGGTTCCAAGCCAAAGGAGAAAGGTTTTCAGGTGGTGAGGCCACCACGGCCTACATGAAGTTAAGATTAACATGGACGGAGGCAGTATATACAGGATGATAAGTAAAGTGGGGCAAGAAATGTGAGGAATGAGGCCATCGAAGACGGCACAATTTCGAGCATTGCAGCGAACTCAAGGATTTCTGTTAACAAACTGAAGCAGTTTAACACATTCCAATGGTCGGTGAGTCGGGGCCTGTACCATTTCTTCTTGGCCAACTACTTAGCGATTCGCCGGCCTTCGCGCTGGACTACCTGGCGAATCATCTTTCGGGCATTGTGCCAAGAATTTGTTGATCGACCTTAAGAAGTGTCCGTGGAATAGCTGCTAGATTGAGCTGAATATTGTGTCCGAAATTCTGCACCAGAGTAGTAAGAGACCTATCCAACTATCCCGGGGAGAGGGAATCACGGAAGGATTAAATTGAGGGAAAACAACAACTCATGCGGCAGGAGCACTAGCAGATGGCAAACTATGCAAGCATTTCACACAACCTGTCCTGTGCAGCATCAGGCTTGCAACATTTCATCAAACTCAAGCGATTCCACACCCTTGCTGTTAACAAAAGCAATAGTTGCTCTAAATTGCTTGTGTTGTTTAGGAAGGATATATAAACTTGCCAGTGTTAATAGCTGCTACCACGTCACTCCGGGGGTGAATGTAAGATGCTATCTGAGAGCTGTCGGTTATAGACGTCCGCAAGAGCAAACCCATCATATTACCAAAGACAATCATTCCAGCTTTGTCCAGGTGTGTATAATCCTTGGGTGTAAGATTATACTTTGCTGCATTTTTTGCGCCCACACTGTTCAGGTACTTGGTTGACGCTCCATTCAGATCCACATATTCGCAGTTTGTGGCCTTTGCGGCAGCCTTGGTGGCAGCAACGACGTTCGCCAGCGAGGGAACCACATGGCCTGAACTGTCGAAGCTTCGACGGCTCAGAGAAGTCACCAGGATCTTGGGTTTTATGTTAGTGAAATTTCTTTCATCCAAGCGCGGACTTGTGACTGACTGGTGTTCCACCTGCTGACCGGACATCGGCTACCATTTTCTCCAGATTTGCCATAAATTGGGAGATGGAGACTCCGGATGTTGACTTCTGGTCATTGTGCCCGAACTAGGTATCATAACACATGTTTATGTAAGTCCTTGAAGGTATGGCCACGGAATCTGGTCATTTACCTGGATTGTGACATAGGGATGGTAATTCGACTTATTTTTCTTGACAGCGTCGAGAACCTTGGTCCAGTATCCACCGGCCACAAAGGAGGCCGTTGTAGCACCGCTATGGGCGAAGTTGGTGCCAATTGACCCGTCGGCCAACGTGGCTAGGAAGCCATCACCCCAGCCTGAGAATTATAATCACTGCCGTCAGCCACCATCGTGCTCTGGACAGGTTGAGGTCACTTGCCTCCATTTATTGCTGTAGTTGAGTCTCCAGCAAGAAAGAATGCAGGTTTAGATGCTGCGGATCGCTCTACTGGAGTAGCGAGGGTAGAGCATGGGAGAAGACACAGCACTGACTGCAATGCGCCACATATAGTCAAGAATTCCATGATTATGGTTATATCACGAATAGGAAGCTGCAATGGTTAAAAAGTGTCGTTCTCTGGCACGATGATGGTCTTTATATAGATTTCCAGACTCATCAAATTGAAACAGTAATTGTTGCATAAAAATCGACTTTCATTCGGCCATTGGTACTGCCCTGTATTCCGGTTAGATGGGAATACAGCATATATGCTTCTGCAGGGTCAGAGTTCAAGTGACATATGGCTGTATCTTGCCCTCTAATGGTACTGAGCCCACTTGACGGCCCCTCATGCCATAGTGACTGGTAATGTTCTGAGACGTTAGCACTTCGTCAACATTAAGCAGACCTATTGTGTCAGTGGTGGAAATTTTGCTTTATGCCGGCAAGGGTTTCTGATCAGGTGTATTGCGGTAGCCGCTCGCTCCACATTACCCCGTTCTCCCGACAACCCCGTTCCTCCGTACCAATGGAGTTGCGTTTGGGTAGTATCTAGCCTATCCCTAAGCGGTAACCTGAGGCAACCAGGTGTTGCAAAGGGCAAGAGTTGCATCCTTAGCCCCAACTCTATTGTACCCTTGCACTAGTCGAAGCCTCTCTAGTGGACGGAAAGCTTGAAACCCTAGATTGCGCTAATCGTTTGATGTATACTATGTAGAGACTATCATTAGGGTCGTGAGCAGTTGCTGCTGCTATACGAATACAAAACAAGCCTTTTAGCCAATCCCCAGATGACTTGCTGTATTGAGTACCCAACAAATACTCTATTATAGTTCCTTTGCAACCCAGTTTGTGGAGTTCAGAACCACCCCTCACGCTGTTGATACAGTCAGTGCTCCCTCCTGTTGCATTCAGTGCAACTGCATCGCCGGCCCGGAACTCCGTATAACCTTGATCGCACGGAACAAAAGAACCGACAAATTGAGGATTAGGACTGGAATGAAACAGATGAGGGGAAAGGACTGCTGCTTCGGGGTACCATATTTACCGAATTCACCAGCAGAGTTGCCCATAGACGAAAACCATCTTACTGGGGGTTACTAAAATAGATACTGCTCGCTTGATCATATAAACTAGGATAAACCCATCTACTGCCTTTATTACTCATCTCATAGAGCATTTATGATCCATTTTCTCTTCTTGATAGTCTTTAGCTCTTCAGCCAGTGCTCCTACCGGCAAAACAATTCATGTTAGCAATGTTGCTCATACTAACCTTTAGCTCTCAAAACCTCCTCTGAATATTATGACGACGGTAATTCAAGTGTGCGTAGGTGGCACCACTGTAAATTAGACCGTATGAATGAGTACGGGCGTTTTATTTCTATTTTAAACAAACAATTCTATAATGTTATCAAATACATAAACCAGTCTTCTAATACCGTGTAATTCATGATACCTGGGCGATCGTTTCGTATCCCTGCTTACACGTTAGTGTGTTGTCTTTGTGTAGTCTAATGATATCTCTATATTTGACGAATTGGACTAGTGAACTTGTACTCAAGCGAAAGATTCATATTGAACGCGAGGAACTAAGACTAAGAATGGCAGACCCAATGATAGGAATGTCCTTAAATGCAAAAAAGGAGGCGTATGATAAGGGTCCTTGAGCCATTCAGATAGCTGTGCGAATTAGCACCTTAGTATTCGCTCCTTAGTATTCACTCCTTAGTATTCAGCATAAGTACTTCCTGCCAAGTGCTGGACCTGCTAGAATTTTGAATTTCCTTTTGTACAAACACTCTGCCTTAATTTGCTGCAATCTAATCATTGTAACGAACCTGCTTTTGGCTGAGACTATGACCTATTCAGCACGGACGAAGCCTTGAAGTATGGCTTGAATTGGAATGGCTGGGTGAAGAAGACATGCTGGCGATTGTTAATCGGATGTGGCTTGCGCATTCCTTGATCAAGCACGATGACTAGCTTTATCCTTTCGATGCATTCATGTATGGTAAACAATGGGCAGCAGAGAAGGCTCCTTAACTGTCAGGTACCACAAATATACCGTCTCCCTGGTACACAAGCGAAATGAATGCTGCGGTAGATATGGATGCTGTTTATGCCCTTAAAGGAATGGTTGTGGGCATTGTCATTGATACTATATGCAATGGTGAAGAGAAATTTCCAATTCACGTCCCGCAGCCCCTCATTGCCTCTCTTCGCCAGAGATATCTCAACACTCACCATTATGTACCACGACCTGCTGTAGCGAAAAGTTTCTTTTATATACTGCTGCTTTCTGTTTTCCAACAAGTTTCTGTTAGTATAGATCACTTCCTCAGTTGTTTGAGTGACTAATATTGGCAGTGCAATGGGCAAAGAAATCATTGCACTTGTGGTGCTCACACTTAATTGCCGAGGTGCCCAAAGCGTAAGAGTGGTGATTCTAATACTGCCTGTAGTTCAATTTATATGATCTGACTCCATGATCCGGACCTGGTAACTACTTAGACTCATCGCTCTTTTCTTAAAATCTCAATCCGGTTGTCCAAACATGCACTGGGGTACCTATCTCCCCGTCAGGTGGGCTTAGCACTTTGATGACGAGGTGATCGACAAGGATCCTGTGAGCCGTATATCTAAGACACTTGCTCCAACATGTATGAGGTAATTCCCTGACTGAAGAATCCAGCTCTGACTGTTGACGTCCCATGAGCTAAGGTCCCTTCTAGTCAGTTGAAAGTTGATCAATGCCTTTTGTCCCGGGGCAAGCATCACTTTATCAAAACCCCTTAGCACTTTCTGTGGGCCACCAGGAATACCAATATATAACTGAGCTACCTCAGAGGCAGTGAAGTTACCAGTATTCATGACCTGCACTTTGACAGTTGCAATGTTTGCCCAGAGAGAAGGGAGTCCACCCTCGGCAATTTCAGTACCTGGGGGTCGCGTTGAGAAACAATGTTCCTCTGCACGTGATAGTTGGAGAGCCGAGTATCTGAAAGTCGTGTATGTGAGGCCGTAGCCAAATTCAAAACGTGGTGTTATGTTATGCGCAAGAAAGTGTCTGTAGTCGATATTGACTCCTTCTGTGTAGTTTACTGGGAACGTATCAGCGCACGGCCCCTCAGAATGAGTCCCAGCAATGGGGCCAGAGAGAACCCATACCTTGTATGTAATAGTCAGATACTGATTCCGGCCCAGTGGGGTCCAGGAGCGGGCCATAATCAGAAGGCTTCCTGGCAACGGTGTACGGCAGCCTGCCGGACGGCGATTGTCTCCCGTATAAAAACTCCGTCACGGCTTTGCCGCTGTCCTGCCCTGGAAGATGACTGAAGATGAGCGCAGTAATATTGGGATTCTCAATCCAAGCATCGACAATCCGTACGCCGGCGTTGTGTATCACAACGATTGTGTTTGGACACTGACTTGCAACAGACATGATCAACCTGTCAGATTGCGGATCTGCTAATCCAGGCCGATCTCGTGATTCAGTCGCGAATTCGTTAACGAAAACCAAGCACGCATCTGAAGAAACAGGCACAGTAGGGGAGAATGGCTCTAGATCCCATGAGATATAGGTACCGTCCACTGTAGCTTGCTCCACAAGAGCCGCAAAGGGAGTACTGATATACGATGGTACCGACGCCCCGGAGCCTCCTCCGCCTATTAGGGTACCCAAAGTTGCAGCTTCGGGAAAGGTGGCGAGATGAGAGAGGTTTGTTAGCTCTACACTGTCCGCGAGGTCGAGCGCTTCGTAACCGAGATACCATTTGAGGCTGAAAGCGGGATTTGTTTTGGGTGGCAGCCCTGCGTCGTAGCCGAAGACGGAAATAGATCTCGGTTTCAACAGCGGCAAGGCGTGATTGATGTTCTTCACCAAAACTTGACCTTCAACTGCCCCTTGGAATATTGTCGGTCTCGATTCTGGATTTCGGGCATCGACAGTTGGGACTGGCGAATTGATGATTACAGGCGGCATGCTAGACCCGGGATGATTGTGAGGCGCGAGCTTGTAGTAAGCTGCAAGTATCCTGGCCAGTAGTAGATTGATCAGCAAAAGCTGCTCCCCTCAGTGGTATAGCTTAGAGCATACCGCGTGGCCATATCGTCTAGTCTCTCCTGCGACATTGTGCCGTTGGCCACGGCAAGAGACAGGTTACCCTGCCAGTAGGGTGAATCCGGCATCGCCATGTCTAACCCGGCGTTCGCACTACTGATACCCGTGAGCTGGGCATTCCAATCACTGACGACAAAGCCTTGAAAACCGAGCTCAGTTTTGAGAAGGCCATTGAGAATCTTGCTATTCTGGCACGCGTATGAATTGTTCACTCGGTTGTACCTGAGACCCATCAATAAGGAGCTTTATCGCTTGTCAAGAAACGACTCGGAGTCCGACTCACGAGCACATGACTGAGCCAACTCCCGCATGGACCGCGTTCGCGAATGGCCAGAGGTACAGCTCATGCATGGTTTTGTCATCAAGGTTGGACGAGTAAGAGGCATTGTTTCCCTCCGGCCCTCTGGCAGTTTCCTGCTCATAGGCTATGAAGTGCTTCACGGACGCTATCACAGACTTTTGTAAGCCTTGAATAGTCTCGGCTACAAGCACTCCAGCCAGGTATGGGTCAGCACTAAACCCTTCCCAGTTGCGTCCACCGCGAGCAGTTCTGCCTAATGGACCAATAACTGGGCCGTTAATAACACTCACTATATCAGGAAACTCGTGTTTTAGCAGCGGTCATAAGCCGACTTCAATCAAGGTAGTGGCATCGCGTACCTCCCTTAGCCTTAAATTCTTCACCCATGTAAAGGCCCCGGTGGTAGACAAGGCTCCTATTCCATGAAGCACCTGCATGTATACCAGCAGGATACGCATTCACAAAATCTGTCCCGCGAAGGCCGTTGCTAGCGTCAGCAAGACACATGCCTGGGTAGCCAATTCTCGGCAACGGAAGACTCAAGCCAGCACAGCCTAGAAGTTGGCAAGGGCATAGCTGTTGTAACCAAAGGTAATGTTATTCTTCTCTTCGTTGGATAATTTTTTGACGGCCGCTTTAGCTTTCCGGTATGCCGGAGCCCAATCACCTAGCCCTTTTCCCGGCGCTGTTTGGACTTCGTTAAACACCGTGCACGGCCATTAGGGGTTGTGGCACGCACGAGAAGGGTACACAGCAGGCGATCGTCCATATGACCAGAAAAGCTCTAGGGAAGTGCAGTTGACGCCTTGATCTGCCGATGTGGTGACCAAACTGAGAACAAAGACCTGGATAACCAACAAAATGTGCCTGCTATTGATCATTTCGCTTAAGATTGAAGATTACTCGGGAGGTATGACCAATTCGCGTATGACTTCGTAGGTAAGTATGAAAGTGATATTGTCGGTAAAAGTAGGAAGTTTGGTATGGCAAGTCAGGATATAAACTCCTGTTTCTTGGGGAAGCCATTCCTAACCAACTTTGAATGGATGGGATACTAAATACGTCAGTAGACCAAGCTGACGTCGTATTCGTACGGGATACTACTTCGGTATAAGGCACGGAATGTGGCCATACAGAATTAATGAAGCCCAGCTTCATTCCCTCAATCATCTCTTTTCCTACAGGGAATTGCCAGGGCTATTGACTATACCAATTAATAACATTTTTTTTTTTTTTTTTTTCCTTCCCATTAAGCTATAGGTCAACGACCAGAGAAAAGAAAGAGTGATCGACAGACTGATTATGAATTTGCAGAGACGATAGCGGTTTGGACGATGAGACCTTCAGGACATAAATAACGAGACCAGCATGATGTACTACTCTATGTTATGTTCTTGTTTTCTTTGAAGGTTGTATGGTGTCGTAATTTTCTTAACACCCTCAGCGAGATATATCCTACTAGCTGTCCTCAACGAAGGGGCGAAATTCATATGTCACGAGCCATAGTTCTACGGGCCTATCACCTACCCCCATGAAGTCTGCAGACACCTGGCTGACTGAGGGATCTTCTAGGCACTTCAAGTTGGAGACGGCTGGGTATCGGGAAGGTTGGGCTTCATAGACGATGCTAAGAGGACGAGAAGCTGAGAGATTTTCCAGAAATGCTAACTGATCTGGTCGTAGCCCCGACAGTAGTTCTCCTAGGGACTGATGAAGATGGTTGTCGCAGGCTCAGCGTGCCTTGCTCGTAGTTAATCTAGGCGGGTAAGATGCTGGCATCGGGGCGCCCTTTATTGGAGCTGACTAGAGCGGTAACCATGGCCTGGATTGGTTTGCTGTGTCATGGTGGCTTGTTGCTCTTGTCAAGACGGAGGACAGACATAACCCTCGGTGCCCAAGTAAAAAGTCACGAACGTCTCCATGGAACTCTCCTGACAGCCTCAGGTTGGAGCGGTATCTGGGATTAGTGCTCGTACTCGTATGTATTACCGCACCTGGGCATTTCCGTGTTTCACGCTAATCCTGAACAGCGGGTGGGCTGTGGGGTCCCAGTGGCAACTGTCTCGCCCCGGTTTGCCAGGAATGGTATGCCAACGGTGCGCATTTTTCTGTATAATTATTCTTATAGTTACTATCGCTCTACTATGGGACATCAGAAAATAATTGCTGAGTAGTTTTATGATTGAAAATATATTAGAACCTGACCCACCAGATCAGGTATAAATTAACAGGCTTTCATATTCGTACGGTTTGCGGTGTTGAGGTTGTTGCTCCACCCCATTGCGACTGTCGGTAGACCCGAAGAATGCCGCGGCCAAACCCTCGAGCAGATAGATGCTCGTACCTCGTATTAAAGACTATTTTGGGCTTCCAAGTCACAAAGGCTGTTCGACAAATTAGGTGATTTAGGGATCGCCCGAAGCTAATAGGTGACATTTCATGTAGACTGATTTCTCAGATCCGACCGAGCCACATAGAGCGGAGAACGCCAGGCAGCTGCAGCACTGGATATCCGTAGCATCCAGAGCAAAGCAGCCGAGGTACTATGGTGAATTTGTGCTCCTATATCTGCCCTTCTAACCATTTTTTACCTTTCCCTTCTTCTTCCTTTGATGTTGTTGTTTTTTTTTTTTTTTTTTTTTTCCTTTTCCCCCCCCTAAGAGTTGGCGTA